ATATGGATGAATAATGACAATAAATGAATATGGATTACTAATGATAATGAATGAATATGGATAACTAATGATAATGAATGAATATGGATGAATAATGATAATAAATGAATATGGATTACTAATGATAATGAATGAATAAGGATAACTAATGATAATGAATGAATATGGATGAATAATGATAATGAATGAATATGGATGAATAGTGATAATAAATGAATATGGATGACTAATTACAATGAATGAATATGGACTACTAATGACAATGAATGAATATGAATGACTAATGATAATGAATGAATATGGATAACTAATGATAATGAATGAATATGGATGAATAATGACAATAAATGAATATGGATTACTAATGATAATGAATGAATATGGATCTAGAGATAACAGATATGATCCCTACATAAACAGCCATGAATGTCTTGTAAATCCCAATTCTGGGTTTCTAACAAAATACTCACATATACTCAGGTATTATTGTTAATCATATTTTTTTAAAACGTATAAGCCGACAAAAAACATTTTTAAAAAAGACTAAAAATTCATGTCTAATGGGTCAAATTGTGATTGAAAGTCACAGCTTTCTGGAATATTGACAGAACCGTTAAATCCATATGAGCAGCGTGGACACACATAAACATGAAAACAAAAAGAAGCTGTAAATTAACTGCAGCTTCTCTTTGTTTTCATGTAAACTTTAAGTTTGGTAAAAAGATTGTTAGAAATCCAAACTTAACAAGAAAAGTCGTCTTTATTGTATTGATATAATCCCTAGATCTTTGAACCTCATATAGTGTAAACCTTTGAGGTATCAAAGATATATTACTGTTAAAAATTTGACTTTAATGAAAAACATTTTATTTTTATCATACATACTTTTTTATCTAACCAATGGGAAAAATAGTGAGAAATCAAATTCTAATCATTTAACTGATAAAAAAGTGGTATTTACTTTTCCAATGGCATTTATCTGATGGCAGTTCCAACTTTCTCGGAATGAATTATTGGGAAAATTATTTTGGAAAATCAGCATGATAATTTTTAGGGCTGACATTGATACCTTCCCGACCCCAGGGATAGTTGGATTTTGGCCGGATAAAGTTCTTGCTAATAAATATCAAGGATACACTTTTAGAAACTCAAGTAAGTAATTACGGGATAATTAAATAGTTTAGAAACTCAAGTAAGTAATTACGGGATAATTAAATAGTTTAGAAACTCAAGTAAGTAATTACGGGATAATTAAAAAAAATTACTCTAATTTTCAAACCCCTATATTTTTGCAACTAAATGTAATAGGTGAAATAAACAGAAAACCTTAACATTTTCAAACTTTAAATGTTGAAGAAAAGAATATATATTATATATGGATATAAAGGGTTCAAAATTAAAGATACTTCATGACCTGAACTTTCTTAATAGCTTTAAAAATGTTAAATAACTAAGAAAAAAATACAAAACTAAATTTAACTTTTATTTATAAATAAAACTAGCTAAAATGCCCTGCGTTGCCGTGAAAAAAAAGAAAAATTTTGAAAAAAAAGATTTTCGAATTTTATTTAGCCTATAACACCCCCCGGCCACCCATGAGTGTCCACAAAAAATTTCAGCCCAATCGGTCCAGCCGTTTGGCCGGCTATAGGCAACATATATATGTATATACGAATGTCTTGTTTTATTACATAGATGAGAGAATAAAAGCTTTTTCTATGATTCGATTTCTGAATTCTAAAGTAAGAGTTACATTTTGAGGATTTTGCTTTACAAAAATAAGCGCAGTTGAAAGGAACCCTTCTTGCAAGGATGAAAATGTCTGATTCACAAGGGTACCATTAAAAGCTTAAGTTACATGTTGAGGATTTTGCTTTTCGAAAATAAACGCAGTTGAAAGGAACCCTTCTTGCAAGGATGAAAATGTCTGATTCACAAGGGTACCATTAAAAGCTTTTCTGATCATTTATCAATTATGTTTCAATGTTTATGATTTGGAAAACTTGCGGTTTCATTAAAAGTGTAACTTGCGCGTTTTATTGCATAAAAACATGCAGGAATTGTCAGAATTGAAAACTTGTCAACTACTATATTTTACTAATTAGTGATCAGATAAAGGTTTTGAATGGGTATCGTTGTGAATCGTCATCTTTGGATGGAGGGTCGCTTGAACTGATGCTTACAGTCCCTTTAACAGATAATTAGATTGGTTTCTATATTATAGATTGCTGTTTGATTCATCAATCGATCATGTGATTAACATTTTGATTGATTGATTTGTTTGTTCAGGCGGGATGTCAAAGATTACAGAAGCTTTGAAGGAGGCAACATCCTACTTAGGATCAAAACATAATGTAGGAAAACCTTATTAATATACAAACATTTTGCTTTAAATTTTAAATTAAATAATGTATAGACAGGATAATTCATAGACAGGACAATTCATAGACAGGACACTTAATAGACAGGAAAATTTATAGACAGGACACTTCATAGACAGGACAATTCATAGCCAGGACAATTCATAGACAGGACACTTCATAGACAGGAAAATTTATAGACAGGACACTTCATAGACAGGACAATTCATAGACAGGACAATTCATAGACAGGACAATTTATAGACAGGACACTTCATAGACAGGACATTTCAAATTTTGTAACCCTATATTTTTGCAACCGGATAGTCTAAACATGTTATATATCAAACTTATTTAATCAAAACACAATTCTGCAGAGATTTAGTGATTAAAATATTAGAGTTTGGGACGAAGACTCAATTCCTTTCCAATTATGAATCTATGATCAAACTATCTATGAAGTGTCCCGACACAGATAATATGTTTTCAGGGTTGGCATGATATTGGTTCAAGCTGGTTTGGTCCATCTCATAAAATATTAAAACTATCCCTGATGACAGTAGCTCTATCTAGATACCTCAGGTGCAGGAAAAACATTCAAAACTACAAAAAAACTATATTAAAAAAATATTTCAATTATAGTATTTGTAAATCATCTTAACATTTTAAACCGAAGTATTTAGCATTTTCAAGCCCTACTATGAATGTAAGAAATTTAAAGCATCACGGGCAGCCGTAGTACATTTGAATTTCCGAGCCGGGTCAACCTTTCCGGTCCCAGTTTATACTGTATCACCCGGACATTGGGTAAATAAAGCAGACACTCAATAGGACTAGCCGGTGCAACAAGGTTGACGACGTCAGACTTTAGGTTGAATTTACTTTTATTAAAGGGTCAGGGGTGCATGGCATTAACAGATTATAAATAAAGAACCTATTAAAGAGACTGCAGTAAGCACTTGATTTTAAGTGACCCTCAATGCAAAGATGGTATCTCCCGATTCACAACGGTACCCTTAAAATCTTTATCTGATCAATAAGNGAGATAAATATGTTTTGTGGAGAAATCTCTATTGAAAGTAAACAGTTTTCACAGTTATTAAAATTGAAATCTAATTAATGACTTAACCAGACAAAACTTTCAAGGGTAACCTTGTGAATCGGGCATTGTCATCTTTGCATGGAGGGTTATTTAAAATTAAGCTTACAGTCCCTTTAAGTTCTGTATTTCAGGGTGTACATGTTTGGACCTGGTACACACTGCCGTTGTGCTAGTTGTACTGCACTACCACAAGACTGCCAATGGGGTTCAGGACCGTACGCTGGCACTGTTCTGTTATATGCTCAGGTACATTGTTTGGTTTCAAATATTAGCTTGGGAACTCAGCTCTGTCTGGAAACAAAGTTTTCCTAATATACCATTAGCTACTCTACTTAGAACTTTTAAACCAAGCTAAGAATATTCCCTAGGTTCAAACGTAATTTTAAGGCAAATCGGTTTCATTGTTCCTGAGTTATGATCAGGTATCCGAACAAACAAACAGAGATTGCTACTTTATATAGATTAAATCTGAACTATTTTAAAAGCTTAACAACAAAAAATAACTGATTTTTACTGATTTTTACTGATTTTTTTTTTGAAGAATTGTCTCCTGTGAAAGGTTTGTTTTTACTGTAGAAAACCACGTGTCTTTTTCTTGAATTGTTGCTTGTTCAGTTTATTAATTTTCGGGTAGATATCTATGTATCTTTGAATTAAAGCTGCACATTATTGAAACTTACTTTAAATCCATTGAAATATCAGATAATATTTTCAAAATATATTAAGAAATATCAAAAATTCCTCAATAGCAGCAACAAATCCCAAATTTAATGAAAAAACAGTTATTTTTTATAATCCCTTGAATCAAAGAAAAGGTTAAGCTTAGATATTCCTCATTTTTATTTAAAGATTAGTGCTATAAAGGACGACTTTTCAGGATACTGTTATTTTTGTATTTAAATGCAATAAGACTGCAATCTAACTATGAAATAGGAAGACACACTCTGGGCCGTAGTAAATTTGAATTCGAACAGGACCTGCCCAGTTTGTACCGGCCTGCCAGATACCAGCGTGTACTGACCCGATCCTATGGTACAGTACGTCGCCCTAACCAGACTAACATACGACAGGGGTCAATTTTCTTGGCATAGTCCCATCGGAGGGCTAACTAAGACAACTTCCATGGCGCGTTCAGACTTTTTACAGTACCCGGCCTAATCCTAGGCCTATTTGACCGACCCCACTGCTTAGTCCACCGTGGACACTAATAGTTTAACCAGCCGCTTACAAATCAACTTGAATGGGTCTGTGTTGGCCAACTTTTCAAAATAATCTTAAAGTCGTCTTCTTATTCTACAGTCTTATGGGTCTCATTCAGTGTACAACTGTATAGCAAAGTATATAACATATATTATATAAATGATCTAGAACAATTCAGTTGATCACTTCTCCTTTCAGGAAATTGCAATGAATCTTGTTTGGACCCAGGAAGAATTTGACTCTATGAAAACAGGTTTTTTATTATTCTATTATTCATTTCTAGATTGCCCATCACCCACTGGAAGATTAAACATATTGTTAAACAAGTCACTACTCAAATATTAGGTCTTTTAGATTTATCAAATTGTAACAAACATTTGATCATTTTATTCTTTTTTTGACCAAATATTGATTTATTCACATTGAGAACTAAATCTAATGTGTACATCCAAGAAAAATAAATGCTTATGCAAAAATTGGCTTGGTTTGTAGGTTATTTAGCTCTATATGCGCATTAAGAAATATATGCAAAAATCCCATTTAAGTAAAAATAGGAAAAATATTTTTTATCTTTGCCTCTCATTCAAAAACCCATAAAGATATATGTTGATCAAAATGGTGAATTTGTTTATCATGGCTTTAAGATAATTTACAAACGTTTTAAAAGTTCTAGCACTAAAGATCACCATGAGAGAAGCAGAAATGCGCTTTTTGAACATATTTCTATTCGCACATAAAGCTAAATAACCTACAAACCAAGTCAATTGTTGCTAATCTATTTCTTTTTCTTGGATGTACATTCTCAATATGAATAAATCAATATTTGGTCAAGGATAAACATAAAGTAATCAATGTTTTTTACAATTTGATAAATCTAAAAGATCTAATATTTGAGTGGTGAAGTGTTTTTAACTGCGTAAGTAACGTAAGAGGGGTTTGCCCCCTGTTTACCCTCTCCCCTCCCGTACAAAAACTTCCAGTTACAGGTTTAGTCTTTGATCAATTGATATGTCAAATTATATTATTAAATGGATAATAGTCAGATAAAAACAGCAAATAATCATGTTTAATGGCACAAATCACAACAATAAAATATGTATTATGTTTCATAGATATTTAAGCATAACGAAATTAAAGATTTTATTATTTTATTTTTATATTATTTCAAGCAAAATATTTAGTAATACTTACATATTTAATTTTAGTATTATTATAGTTACAGGAGTTGAGTTTTTGCCACAAACTCAAATTTTCTAATCCCTATATCTTTTCAACTTAATGGTGTAGACCTTTCATATTTCAAACTAAGGTTATTTGATTCATAGTTTATATATGGTTATAAAGATATGGTGATTAGAAAATAAAAGTTTTTGTTAAGTATTCATTTCCTTTAAATAAGATATTCAAAGTTAATGTTTAAAAACATTAATAATTAATAAAACCTTTCTAGCATTGAAAGGGTTTTTATATTACGCATATTATATTATAAACGATTATTTTTAGGATATTTGGATTATGGAACAACCAGTAACGAGTCAGTTTGTGGGGTAATTATATGATAATAATAGTAAAGATAGCAATGAGGATTACAATAATAAATAATAATAATAATAATAATAACAACAACAACAACAACAAGAATAATAAAAATAACAATAATAATAATAATAATAATAACAACAACAACAACAACAAGAATAATAAAAATAACAATAATATAAGAATAATAATACTAATAATAATGATTAAAATAATAATACTTTAGATGCTCGAGCTTCATGTTTTCCATAATGCTGAGCCGTTTAGTAAATTCAGGTGCGTAACACGTAACAACGAGATATCAAGAAATTGTTAAAAAAATTTAGAGTGAAAATCCCGATTAAAGCAAAATTGTCACTATTTTAATCTCTATTCGATGTTATTGTTGAGGTCACTTGGTTTGAATATGGTTGACCTCATGATGTTAGTTTTGGAGCTGGCAAGTGTAAATAATATGATTATCTATTTAGTCTAATTTTAGTTTTTGAGTTGGGAAGTATAAAGAATGTGATATATCTAGTCTGATTTTAGTTTTTGAGCTGGGAAGTATAAATAATATGATATATCTAGTCTGATTTTAGTTTTGGAGCTGGGAAGTATAAATAATATGATATATATTGTCTGATTTTAACTTTGGAGCTGGGAAGTATAAAGACTATGATATATATAGTCTGATTTTAGCTTTGGAGCTGGGAAGTATAAAGACTATGATATATCTAGTCTGATTTTAGTTTTGGAGCTGGGAAGTATAAATAATATGATATATCTAGTCTGATTTTAGTTTTGGAGCTGGGAAGTATAAATAATATGATATATATTGTCTGATTTTAGCTTTGGAGCTAAGAAGTATAAATAATATGATATATCTAGTCTTATTTTAGTTTTAGAGCTGGGAAGTATAAAGAATATGATATATCTAGTCTGATTTTAGTTTTGAAGCGGGAAGTATAAATACTATGATTTATCTAGTCTGATTTTAGTTTTGAAGCGGAAATTATAAATAATATGATTTATCTAGTCTTATTTTAGTTTTGGAGCGGGAAGTATAAATAATATGATATATCTAGTCTGATTTTAGTTTTGAAGCGGGAAGTATAAATAATATGATATATCTAATCTGATTTTAGTTTTGGAGCTGGGAAGTATAAATGATATGATATATCTAGTCTGATTTTAGTTTTGGAGCTGGGAAGTATAAATAATATGATTTATCTAGTCTGATTTTAGTTTTGGAGCTGGGAAGTATAAATAAAATGATATATCTAGTTTTATTTTAGTTTTAGAGCTGGGAAGTATAAAGAATATGATATATCTAGTCTGATTTTAGTTTTGAAGCGGGAAGTATAAATAATATGATTTATCTAGTCTGATTTTAGTTTTGGAGCGGGAAGTATAACGCTTACGATATATCTAGTCTGATTTTAGTTTTGAAGCGGGAAGTATAAATAATATGATATATCTAGTCTGATTTTAGTTTTGGAGCTGGGAAGTAAAAATAATATGATATATCTAGTCTGATTTTAGTTTTGGAGCTGGGAAGTATAAATAATATGATTTATCTAGTCTGATTTTAGTTTTGGAGCTGGGAAGTATAAATAATATGATATATCTAGTCTGATTTTAGTTTTGGAGCTGGGAAGTAAAAATAATATGATTTATCTAGTCTGATTTTAGTTTTGGAGCTGGGAAGTATAAAGAATATGATATGTCCGGTCTGATTTTGTCTCGAGTTCGTGATTATGCGATGTATCTAGCCTTGAAATCATCAGGACAAGGAATAGGAGAGAAGGTAAACAGATATTTCCTTCATCACGAAGCTGTACTGTACAACTAGTGTACTGTACAACCAGTGTACTGTACAACTAGTGTACTGTACAACTAGTGTACTGTACATTGAATGGTAAAGAAATGGTAAAGAAATATTTCCTTCATTATGAAGAGATTGAGGTTCAAGTGGGAAAATCTTTTCTATCTATAGCAGTAGAGAAAATCAGAAAATTGACAAGGTTTAAAGGAATTGAGTCTTTGCCACAAACTTACCATCATGTGGTGACATCAAATATGGGCCAGTGTACACTGCACAATAGCTGTGTGTCATGTAAATCAAAATTTGAGTTTAAAAGTCGTCTTCATATTCCATAGTTGTATGGGTCGCGCTGTAAACAAATATATTTTTAGATTGTTTCTCAGAAGTATTCGATAGGAAAGGATGGATCTTTAGCTGATGTTTGTAAACAGGACGGAGATAAAACCAAAGTCGAATATAAAGATGATGATACAAAGTCAACATGAGCCCTTCTTCATCTTCTTAGATGGAGGATATTATAAAGTTATTCATTCAGAGAATGTAGACGATTATTTGATATTATCCTTGTGTTGCTTTTATTGCAGTATGACCTAGACTGTTTAGTGCTTGCAAAGCAGAACTCAGTTTATTAAACTGCCCACAATTTTAATTTTCAAATTTTCCTGATGTTGTGAACCTTTGAAATTTATAATTTGTACTTTTTGATGAAGTAGAATCCATAGCTTTAATAATTAGGTTGAAGCAAAGTAATCAGCACTTTCGTAAAATGTTTTTAGAATTCTGAATTTTAAAATGGTGTGATATATGTAATATCTAAACCTTCTGTTTTGTTTAATGACAAAAAAAGCTAAGTATTTGGTTCAGATGAAACAATTAAAACTTAAAAATGTCTTTAGTTCATCTTTTTTCAATTGTTATTTCATAACATGTTGCCATAAATTTGTCTTAACCAAGGTACTAATGCAAGGAAAGTTATTTCAGAGGTGTATGCAATTTTGCACTGCAGTGTACTGTCTTTGGGCGGAAAAGTAAACACAAGACGGATGTCACGGCCTTACATGGAATCCATTTTTACAAAAAAAATCTATGAAATATTCTGGTCATAGGAAACTATTATGTGAATTTTTAAAATTATCAAAATTAAGTGCTTTAACCCTCCTCGGATACTAAACAAACATTGATGCATCTTTTCTCGTTTACAAATTCCGCCCGGAGAGAACTAATTTCAATATGTACGCAGAGTATACGCACTGCAATTAACTTTCCTTGCATTAGTACCTTGGTCTTAACATTAAATGTATAAAGACAAAATAGCTAAACTGTACAACTAGTGTTCTGTAAAACTAGTCCACTGTACAAATAGTGTACTGTACAACTAGTGTACTGTACAACTAGTGTACTGTACAACTAGTGTACTGTACAACTAGTGTACTATAGAACTAGCTTTTAAACTTGTCAAGGCTTGGTGAAAATTTATTTTGAAAGAATTTTACACTAGCATATGTTTACAACCAATATCTGCATGAAAAAAGAGTTAAAAAGTCCAATTTATTCCATTATTAAGAAATTAAGTCAGATTTTAGTTGGACTATATTGCTCCCCTCTTTACTACTTCAATCTGATCAAAACAACTTAGTCCAGGAGTATGAAAAGAAGGGAGATACAACTGACGCGGCCCGCCCTACCATATGATTATGCATGCTTTGCAGACGGGTACTTCATTTGTGTAAGAAATATTTGTCAGATGTACATTTACCGCGTATACAATAAACTTTTGTGAATATTTCCTATACAAATGAAGTACCCGTCTGCAAAGCATACATGATCATATGTTAGGGAGGGTCGCCTCAGTTTTATCTCCTTTCTATTCTATACTCCTTGGACTAAGTACGTTTGGATTTTTGTAGTTGAGGGGAAAAAAATGAAATAAATTATGTCTTCCAATGTAAATAACTCAATTGTATCCAAATATTACCTGTATATTTCACCTAATGAGAGTTCATTTTAATTTGTAATCAATTATAATCAAAACTTTGAGGTATAAGAAGTATTTAAATGATCTATTATTTACCTGTTGCATGCTTTACTATCATGTTGAAGAGCTAATTTAAGAAAGGAATTTGAAACAAATGTTTAAATCAATTATTAAATATATGTTTTTCAGTGAATTAGAATTTTTTAATCTTTGCTAGTTTTTTCAGTTTAGAATTTTCCTGGCTTTGCATTATCATTTTTTACTATTATATAATAATACTTTATGAAAAGTGTGTTTAGGCTTTTTATTCTTTCTAAACATCGTTGTATGCTTCTACGAGGTACAATTTATTTTTCTTTAAAATACCGTTTTCACCTTTAAAATAATACAGACCTAATGTTAGAAATTGTGCTTGCTCACATTTCTGATGAAGGGGTCAATATAATTCCCATTAGAAGGTTAAAAAGCCTAAGGCCGAATTTAAAGAATTTTAGCCACGGCTCAAATATGATTGGTTCCACTTAAAATTGTAATCAATTTTCAAGATTTAAGCCGGCGCTCAATTGAAAACGGATTTTGGCGGATTTGAGCCGCGACTTAAATTCATTAAATTCGGACACTAAACACACTTTTTAATTATATTTGTTTAATAACTGGAAAAGTAATTTGAAAAGTAACAATTTCATTAGAACATCTTGACAATCTATAAAAAAAACTAAATGTGTAATGACTTACGTGTGAATCCTATCTGTTCGTATAGTACGCTTATAACTTAATTTCCGTGTATATTCTTAGCATTTCAAAAAAAATGTAAAAATTTTATTGTTAGAATACTTGAAATTCTCGGCCATGTTAAAAAATACGCAATTTTTAATCTATAAAGATTAGCGTCATAGATTTCCAGTATTATAACTTAAATCCTTTCACTTAAAAGTGTTTACGCTGTGGATATCTAGATAAGGCGCAAAAGCTATGCGCTTTTCCAAAAAGTTTTGCCCTTATGAAAATAAGCTTTGCATTTTTTATTTCTTTGCGATACCACCTTATTAGTTAACAAAAAATATTAAATTAAATGTGTTTGACTGTGATATTGTTAAAATCATTGCTTGCAAACGATGATTCAATTTTATTAAATTTTGTATTTAACTTATTTTGCTTAAAATGAATAAGAACATGTTGGACAATTATTATGTACATGTATTTTTTATGAATTGTTCTAAATTTATCAAAACTAAGTAATAAATAAAGCGTTTTTGTAATCTACAATCTTATTTTTCAAATATATTGTTCAGTCTAAACTTTAATTAACATTAACCACTAGCTGAAGTGCCTGGCGTTGCCCGTGGAATTGTTTAATATCGCATATTGAAAAAAAATCAATTCTTTATCCTATGTTAGGGGTACTCAAGGATTCCCTCAAAAATTCACATCACATGGGTATATTAAAGGGCTGCAACTTTCATACTTTCTGTACCCTATAGACAAAACATTTTAGAACTACAAAGAGCACTTATTCCTGCCTTCCTGCTTTTTGGACAAGAATTAAACCCATCTATGAACATCGAATGCGACAAAATCAGGAAATGGAAATGGCACAGGTCTGGCATGAGAAAGAATGTCCTTATGCTTTGCAGCCGGGTTCCTTATTATGGCGCATGCGCACGAAACACTTAGTTATTTAAAATTAAAACCTACAGTCAAAGAAGTTGCAGAACAATGTCATCACTTATAATTAAGCTTGAATCACGAAATAATCAACAATAAACACAACATTTCGCGGATTTGAAACAAAAGATAAATACTTAATTTGTTGGTAAAATTTTCTCCGAGGAAAACCAAACATATTTGCGTGAACTTGAATTTAAAGTAAAATCCGTTTTACTAGTTTTACATCAACGTGTATTTCAATCAGATTATTTTAGTCGCAAGACCGTTTTTATTTTCTAGTTTCTCCATGCTTTCCTTATTCTCTCAGTTCTCCAAGTTCTCTTGGTTCTCTATGACCTCTAGGTTCTCCGGTTCTTCAATGTTCTCCATGTTCTCATGACTCTTGAGCCTGTTAAGCACCTTCTCTTCGATCTTCATCTTCATGACGGGGTCATTCGGTACAATCAGGGGGAACCCGCCCATCATTACCCTGGACATGATAATATTAGTAATAAAATAATAATAACAACAATAATAATAATTATAATAAAATAATGATAATAGTAAAAATAATGACAACAATAATATTAATAATCACATATCCTACCTAAACTCAGAGTAAGAAATCCTCCCATCTCCGTTCCTATCTACAGTTCTAATCATCTCCTCTATCTCCTTTCCAGGAACCTACAGTTAAGACAAGTTTATAAAAGCCCAAAGATATTTCTAAAAGTACTAAAAGGACAGCAATTTAACTGGAAATCTATCCCTTATTGCTTAAATCCTTAGTTTCGTCTTTGTGGTAATATAGAAAGCTAAAATAACTATTTATAACACTGTTATTTTGGTTCGCAGTGTTAAGTTTTTGGACAGAAATTTTCACTTTTCCTTTTTATATTTGATTTTGTTCCGAGCTTTAGCTAAAAAGGCGAGAACCTTCGAGATATAGAGAAAATTTAAGTCCAAAAACTTAAATAATAGTATTATAGGTAATTTTATGAAACTTTCATGTACTTGTCTTATTTCAATGGCTATTTCTAGAGAACCAATCAAAACTTTATAGCACACGTGCTATGTACAGCTAATTTAACATAATATCACGATGATTACATTATAGCCCGTTCATTGTGAAATTCTCGATGAAGTGAAGAAGAATGATGAAGTACACTATAGTTTTATAAAAACTGTTATTAAATCAATCTTTCTCTGCATTTATAAATGAAAAGATTCCAAATTTATTTATAAAAAAAAATTCATGTAAAATAATCAATGTGCAAGGGCCAACGAGGTTATAGTTTATAGAGTGATGATGTACGCTAATCCTTTACTAATTGTACAGGCCATGTACTTCACTTCCAAAGGTCAATCTGTATATTACAGTACTCGGGGGTGATTTCTGAAAATATTCAAATGGATACTTTGCTGCAATGTAACTATTAAAATCCACTACTCCTTTATCGCGTGGAGGATTCCATTTTCACAGGAAGACGTGCTATTACAGTCTTTTACAGCGCAATATTTCATCGTTAATAAACGGTATTGAAAAACTGAGTAAAATTCAAGATACAAAACCTCTCCATACACTTGTACTCCGAAAGCGTACTGCATATTTGATCTTTGTACTGTATGAATAGGCCATAATCTCTTAATAATATTTTTCAGTATACATCCCAATTATACACTCAAGCTATTACACACTGACAGGATGCTACGATCCAGGGCGTATTATGAAATAATGAGAGGGGAATAATTCTGGTTAACTTTAAGGGGGGGGGGGGCTAAACCATCAACAGATATGCCCCGACTAAAACTTGTCAAGTAAACGCATTTTTTCATTCTTTGTAATGAATGAGTATTGGATAGGGAAAAATCCACCGTTTTTTATTCGCCTTTTCTTAAATGAAAATAATCCAATTCAGTTTCTGTTTTTAATTTTTATTTATTTTGATATTTGTATATCCCACGGGCAGCTGTAGTACATTTGAATTTACGAGCCGGGTCAACCTTTCCAGTCCCAGTTTGTACTGTACCTAGCTCTATGGACAGGCATAGCTGGTGCAACAAGGTTGACGCGGTCAGACTTTATGATTCATATCGAATGAATTTACTTTTACTAACGGGGCAGAGGTGCGTGATCCAGTATTCAAAATACACATATAGATGGGTTTAGTTCCCTAAAGCCAGTGTAAACTTGCCTTCCCTGGTAGATTAGTTAGGACAAACTTTAGTTCTTCTGCTGGAATACAACCTAAACACATTACAGTGGTCTCTAACATTTAAAGAATGATTCAATTCTTCTTTTTGAAACCTACCAGCTTTAATAACCAATATATAATTCTTGAATTTGTACTCTTGAAGGTTTAAATTACGATTAAAATTTTTAAAAAACTGGAGTATTTTTTGTTTATTTATCTATTTATTTGAGCAGATATATTTCATAACAAATGTAGAAGCATCTCAGATTCCCAAAATAATTATGTCCAGACATTGTTTGTGAACAAACATGTATTAGGTATAAAAGTAATTGGTTTAATAGGGTTGTCCACAACTAAAAGAGAAAGAAAGATTACAAAATTGACAAATTTTAATTTGAAAAAGAAATAATTTAATTAGAAACAAAAATCTTGGATAGAAAGAAGGAGAAATTGAAATATAAAAAGGGATTGAAAAAGCAAAATTGAACGCAAAGATACTAATTCATCAAAAACTGACTAGAAAAAGTTAAAATACAAACATTCTGAAAAAGATTCCTTAACTTAACTTAAATGTCAACAAATAAAATAAATGTAAAATGTAAAAAACGTTACCAAAACATATTAAATGGTAACAGAATGAAAAAATGTAAAATGTGAACAAAATTAAAAGGTTTAAAATGTAAACAAATGAAAAATAAAGAGGTTTAAAACTTCAGCTTACCATCCTCATCTTTACTGAATGCTCTAAAAGTATCTTTAAAATGTAATTCTACATCTAGTTCTCCTCTCTCCTGCAGTAATTCAAGGAAGTCCTAAATGTATAAAATGTATTTACTAGGTATAATTTTTAAGTTCGTTCAAACGATTTTAAATCGTTCGTTTTTGTTTATTTTCGTTTGTTTAAAAAACATCATTTATTCATTTCTCTGAACGATCCATTTCGTTCATCCATCGTTCGTTCGTTTTTTCGTTCAAGAAAACTATGCCTATCTCTAATCCTGTATCCTGTATCCTGTATCCTGTATCCTGAGTATACCTGGAACACTAGTAAACCTGCAGACTCTGTATCTATCTTGTTTACTAGATCTTGAACCTCAATATCAGTTGGATTATGACCTGCTCTTCTCATAGCGTACTGGAGAACCTGACACAAAAAATACTTCATATTTCTAATTGGAACAGGGATCTGGGGAAAAAGTTTTTGTCACAGACTCAATCTTGCTAATCTTTAAATCTTTGCAACCAAATGTTGTATAAACCAATATCGTAATCCAATCATTTAATTTTGAAATATCACAGATTTACACCATAAAGGGATTAGAAAGTTTGAATTTGCGGCAAAGTCTGATCAATAGGTTAGGGTGCTGAGCGCTGAATTGATAGAAAAGCTAGACAATGAAAACGAAATTTCTCAAAGTTTATCTTTGATGAGTTTGTCATGAAACTCTCCTCTCACCTTGACAGAAATAGTCCCGTTCCGACCAGAATCCAAACTGTCAAATACTTCTCTATATTTTCTTTCTTCCATTTTCTGATATTTCTATTTATTTAAGGGACTGTACACGTAATTTCAAGAGATTCGAGAATGCATGAGATACCCATTATCTTCTCTTTTAAAATCTCTTATTTTCGATTGTGGTTTCTCTACTTTGTGAACAAAAATAAGGCCCTTTTTTAAATTGAAGGAAAAAGCTAAATTAGTTAAATGAATGTTTGGAGCTCACATTAAATCATTAATTAAATTTTAATTTAAAATGATTTTTGATTTTGATTAAGCTTTTAATTTGTACAAAACAAAACAAAAACAATCTGAGCTGATCTGAAAACTTTAGAATGGTGGATATCGAGATCAATGATTGATCTCCTCTTTTTCTTAATCTTAAGACTATCGTAATCTTGTGTTTGTGTCCTGAAAAGTGTATAAAATTCAACCAATCAGAGTTGGGTATCAGAATTTGAAATTTTTGCACGCAATTTAATGATAATTCTCTAATCTATTTAAGATTAATATACACACACTGGAGGGGCTCTCTAATTTTTAAAAACCGCTATCTTGTTTTCTCTACTACATACAAAAAGAGTGGATTAAGCAAGAAATTAAAAGTGTCCACATTGGATATTCCGATTAAGCAGTCGGGATTAAAGGTTTCCCATTCTAAAGTTCTCAACTCTGAAAACTTTAGAATGGTGGATATCGAGATTAATGCTTGATCCTCTCTTTTTCATAATAGCAAGACTAACCTAATCTTGTACTTGTATCCTAAAAGTGTATAAAATTCAACCATTAGATACTCTGTACGTTGGATACTCAGATGAAGTAATCGGGATTAAGAATATCTCATTCTCAAGTTTTCAGCTAAGAAATCATTTATCTCAATCTCTCAATTAGGTAAAATAATAAAGGATAGAAAACACAGCTGAAAAGATCAGTTCAATAAAGTTATAAATAGTACATTTGAATTTTCCTAACCGGGTCGACCTTTCTGGTCCCAGTTTGTACTGTACCTAGTTTTATGGACAGGACTAGCCGGTGCAACCAAGTTGACGCGGTCAGGCTTAATGCTTCATTATAGATTGAATTTAATTTTACTAAAGGGACAGAGGTGCGTGTTTTGTGCTTACAATTAAATGCCGGAAATGTTTTATTTAAAATGGCCGGAGGAAACTTATATCATCTTTCTTCTCAGTGTATGAAAGTATAATGTAGAAACAAATGTTAGACTAAGTTAAAAGATAACATAGATTAAATCATTCATGCTTTTCTGTAAATTATAAATTATGAAATTCGGAATTTTTGAATTTCCTCAAATCATGGATTGTTATGAAAGTTTTTTTTTGTGCCCAAACATGACTCTCAATGTCAGGTTGGGAACTTAAGCACAGTTTGGAATTGTTTCCCCCTGAATTTTTAAACTCCTTTTATATATCTATACTTTCTGTGTTTTAGATATATTCTTTATAATTAACACAAATCATCTATTTGAGCGGAGATTTGGAACAATAAATATGCGATAAATTAACATTAAACATTATGCAATGGAACAAATTGTTGTTCTCTACATGTCTCAGAATATGTAAACAATCAATTATAGGGAGAATCTGAACACAGCGATTAGATTGAGGTCTTCAAAATTAGATGGTTACCAATTACCATCGTTGGACACAGTGTTACCAGCAATTATGTTTGAATGCCAAGCGCGGGTAAACGGTGGGAGACTATGAATAGTAAAATAAAGATAGGCAACTCCTGGTACTCCATCCTCTCCATCCTAGTGTTCGATAAAGTTAATTGTTAATAAGGTGAGTTGTGTTCTGTGTTCAGGCGTATTTTTTTTTATAACATTTTTTTTCACTTAATACCGAATTTAATAAATATGAGCTTCGTCGCTGAACGGCCTACTCCAGGTACTAATTTGAATCACCTATTCAAAGTTAAAGATTAAGGAATATCGGAATTATGGTTCATGATTCAACCGGCGGTAGGAAGTTGACCCAGGTATAGACATGGCTAAAATTCTTTAAATTGGTTCTTAATACATCTAAATCATCGTGCGCAATGGTAACAAACTACGAAGATTAAACAGTTAGATGACGAACATAGATCTTTAAAGTTTTTTCATTTTCATTTCTTGAAAAAATTCAATTAATTATCAAGAAGATGGAACCCAAGATTGATTTCGCTTTCTAAATTCATCTTTTAATAATAATAATTATGATAATAATAGTGATCAGTAAATGCATTATTACAGAGATATTAATACATGTTTGATTTGAGTAAAAATGGTTTCACATAATTTATGCTTGTCATCTGTGTAAATATCGTGGACTAAAAAGTCTAAATTTAGCTCATTTTTGGGATCAATTTTTGTAACTACAAATATGAATTTGGGGGAATGGGGAGGGGAGGGTTGAAAGTTGCTATAACAAAATCTAATTGATGCATAGTGATTCCCAGACACAGTGCTTTACTGAAAGTCTGGACAAATGGAATTTCCACATTCTTTTTTAGTAAACTCAGAGCTGGGGACTTTAGAATGGATAACCTTTAATCCCAACTACTTAATCCGAATATCTACTGTGGAAATTTTTAATTTTAGTCCTTAATCCACCCTTTTTCTCTCTTTTTGGATATCCGAACATTATTTTCAAAAGTGCATGGTAGGAAGATATGTTTGTAAATTAAATTGACCAATGACAACCTTGAAAATAAATTCTTTATTTGTTGTTGGCCATTTTGTAAATTAATCGGTAATGAAAAATATTTAATAATACGTTTTACATTCTTTTGTAACCAATTTTAACTAATGTATTAATAAATAAATGGGTGAGAAATTAAGTGAAGGCCATTCCAGTCAAGAAAACGAACCAATCTGGCGTTCCTAGAATCAAATTTGTTGATCTAAATATTTAATCTCAAGACTAACTTAATCTCGAGATTATGTTAGTCTCGAGATTAGCAAAAACAGAGGATTATGCATTAATCCTGATATCCACCCATTCTAAAGTTCTCGGCTCAGAGTATTTTGCCTCCATTGAAGAATGTATTAAGTTTTAAAAGATTTCGAATTTGTCTCATTTTTAAAATCATTTGTTCAAGAAATTTTAATTTACATTTTACTATTACAATATTTTTGGTTCGAACAGAATTTTCCATTTTAAAAATGTACATATTTATGCATAAATAATAAACAGTTAAAATTGAACAAATATTCAAATTTTAATATGCTTAGCTTCTTAATTCTAGCTTCATGTGAGACTGATACTTTTGCAAAGTTTTTTTTTCTTCATTGATGAGATGCCAATCCTTCTTAAAAGAACTATATTAAAATCACCAATAAAACTGCATAAGTTCTGCAAACCCAGTGTTATTTTCAAAGCAATGTACGAAAATCTATCAAGCCAATTGCAGTGCTGTCATTATACCACATTTTTAGAAAACGAAGAACACTAGACTGGGACCAAGAAACTCCATTTCTGAAAACCATCTCTGAATAACTAATCTATACTTATGCTAAAAGTCTTGTATTGCACCTGTTTTTTTTGGCAAACCTTGTCAATCATAAAATGCGATATACATAGAAAAGTGTATTAGTATTAAATTATAAACTTTTATATTGTTTAATGTAATTTTGCTTTAGACAAATATAAATGATGAATATATGCACCAATCAAAATATGTCACAATTGTTTTTGAAAAAAAGATCATTATTAATTTGAAATTAAATTTTTTCTTGGTTGTCATTAGATCTATTTACCCCTGTAAGGGGTCCTGAATTTGGTTTGTAAATATTGCATAAGATTATAAATTTTGATTTTGAAACATTTACAGAGATTGATTCAAACACATTTGAACTTGTCATCGAGGAAAATTTAAGGCACGGAAACATAAAAAGGAAAATTTGTTTATTTTATTATTATATTATTATATTATTATATTATTATATTATTTTATTATTAAATTTGGATTTCACGGTTCAGAAAACATCAAAAGGAACTTAATCTAATATTTTTTTTATTAACAATGAAATTTATTTTCAATCATGGTTTCTTTAAGGAGCAGAGCGGTGAAAAAAATCAAATGAATTTATCAGAATTAAATACGTTTCTAGATAGACAACAATATCTTTCTTTTTTTTACTCAGCAAAATGTTTAATGGGTACCTTTGTGAATTAGATAAGAAAAGTTTTATGTAGAATACTTCTGAATACGAGAAGCAACTGTTATAAGCGGAGAGATTTATATATTTCTATTCCGAGGATAAAGATTTGGTACAAGGAACTGTAATTGCGTATTTACAATTGACCCTTATTGAAAAGACACAATTTACACTTAACACCTTAATTTGATCAAAATGTGGAAATTAAGATTGATAGTTCAATGTTTAGAATAGTGTCGTTTATTTTCATGAAATTGTGAAAAGGGAGCAGTCCAATTTTAATAGATTTTACTCTATTCTAAGGTAATCGTTTTTGCAATTTTTGAAAATGTTAAATTTTATTGTCGGGGTAGTTGATCTCCTTTAAATTTAAAAATTCCTAATTTTCTGAAGGGAAGTATGTTTAAAGCCCAGGACTCATTCTAGTAACTTATTCTAGGTAACCCCATCAATAGACGAATAGCTTTCTTTTGCAATGATTCTATCTTATCAATATTTTTGTTTTAAGTTATTATTCAAAATTTTGCACAAAACTCTAAATAAGAGTGGGGAAAAGAGTAATAAAGCAATTTAATGGTTTCAAAGCTTGTATTCCTTGTATAAAGTTTTTAATTTTTTTCATAGCATAAAGGTAAAAGTTAATCGCCTGTTTATCTTTTTTTAAAAGTTTTTGAAGTTAAATTAAGTGTCCAGCCATATTTTCAAAAATCTATTTTTTTTTTCAAAGTTAATAGTAAGTTTATTAGACATGTACCAACAAGTTATATTTTCTAATTCTTTATTTATTGTGTCTGCTAGAGTATTCAAGTTTTTACATTTTGATGCCACATTTGTGACGTCGGCAAAGGCTACGTTATCATTATCATTTTTCTATTTTTTAACATACCCTAGACACTATACAAATAACTAGATTAATATGTACTGCTCTCTATTGTGTTTAAGGTCCCCCCAGATTTTATTATGTACTGACAACATAAATGAATGATTATAAGGTTACATAAAATTGCGTGTTAGCATTAAAAAAAACTATTTTATGAAATGATATGTATACAGTTTTATTTAAAAAAAAAATTCTCAACAGTATAAAAAATTCTCCAGTAATGCTAATGTGATTTTATAAAATTCCGTTTTACCATTTAAATAAAAGGATTTTATGAAAATTATATCTACTTTACACTAAGTATTTCATTTCTCAAAAATATAACAAATTTTCTCCCAAAAAATACGCATAACGATTTCTATACGTTTGATTTCTATAATGTTTGACGCCATAAAACAGTAATCAACTAAGACTTGATCCTTGAACAAGACCCATCTCTAATATTTCGAAAGAAGTCAGAAGGTATAATCGTTTCTGGGGGATACCATAGTTTCCATTACTTTTAAAGTGTTTATTTCTATAGGTTTCTCCATCATTTCTCATTAGTTGCAAAAAATGCGCGAGTCACAAGTAGGGTTCTTAATCGTTTTTACCCCCCCCAGCATATCCTGGTTTTCAAGGACCCCAGCAGAGATAGGGTTAACATACCTAGTCACAAATACAAGTGCAGAGAAACCGCAAATGAAAGTAAACAATTTAAAGAAACAACACATGTATTTCTAATTCATATTTGAGCCGACAAAGGTATTTCGGGCATTGCCATCTTTGCATGGAGGGTCACTTGAAATTACGCTTACAGTCCCCTTAAGTGCAAACTAGCAAATCTCTTTTGACACCCAAATACAGAGATCCAGACTGCTACAATAAGTTGCATGAATTTTGAAGACCGGGTCGACCTTTAAGTGTCGCAACACCATGGACGTTTATTTTACCCGTTTGATTTAGTCAAACGTTTTTGTGGCCCAAGACATGCACATTTTAGAAATATAAAGGAACTTGTTTTTAAGATATGAAGAAAATGCAAAGGTTAATTTTTTCGAGCATTTTACCGGAAAAAATTAATGGATGTAATATTTCAGTTTTTACATATTATATTTACTATTGAGTATAACGGTTTTATTATGAAAAAACTAAAACTAAAAATTGTATAAAGTTTTATAAAGAGCTTAAAAACATGAATTTAATCGGATGTATTGTTAATATTTAGATATTTTATATTATCATCAAATATATGTTTGAGTGAGCTCTTGATTTGTGAACCTTTTAAATTTGTTAATATCACAGATAAATTTTTAAATAAGCTTTCAAATCTCAAACAATCCTGGTTTATTTAATCTCAATACACGTTAAAGGAAGAACAGGGGCGGGGGTGAGGGGAGGACTTAACAGCAGTGATGACGTGCTCACTGAAGTACCGAACTGACTTAAAGGCACAGTCGTTTGAAGCACGTATACTTGAGACAGAAGACGTAAAAACTGAACAGTCTAATAAATCTTCATGAGATTGATGTTATTAAAGTCATTAATCTTGAAATTCTTGAAAGTATTAAATCTGCCTACGATAGCATTGAACCTTTGTAACAAATTCTGGGACTAGCAATGGGCATTTTGTTACACATCAAACGATTTTTAAACGGAAAAAAAGGTTTATCACTGAATCCGTCGGGTTAAACAAATCATAAATGAAACGAGCGTTTTCAAACTAAAAGTTTTCAAAATAACAGTTTTCAAAATAAAAGTTTTCTAAATAACAGTTTTCAAAATAACAGTTTTCAAAATACCCGTTTTCAAAATAACAGTTTTCAAAATAAAAGTTTTCAAAATAACAGTTTTCAAAATAACAGTTTTCAAAATAAAAGTTTTCAAAATAACAGTTTTCAAAATAACAGTTTTCAAAATACCCGTTTTCAAAATAAAAGTTTTCAAAATAACAGTTTACAAAATAACAGTTTTCAAACAGTTTTATAGATATTCATACTTTTGTAACATTTTTTTTATGCCAGCCAGAGGTAACATATCATAACAGTTTGNCCCCAACCATTAACAACAAACAAAGTCACAAACTAAAATTGTCTAATTCACATACTTTGCAACCTGATTGTGAACACTTTTAATTTTTCAAACTTAGATCATTTGATCCAACATAATTTATAGTAGTTTGAACAAAATTGGGTTGTAAAGACATAGGTGTTACGAAATCTGAGTTTGTGTCAAAGACTTAATTCATTACTCGTAAAAGAACTTTATATGAATGATTACAATTAATTTTGAGAATTTTGAAATAATTATTTGTATCTATGTTTGTATAACTATATTTTTCTATTATATTTAATGAGGGTTTAATGTGTTCCCTCCCTTGATCTGTTTCCTGTATAGTCTGCAGTCAGTAATATCATAAAAAAACTAAATGTTGAAAATTATATACCTCGAAATAAATATAAAAATTTAATCTTCCAATTGAATTAAATTTCCAATTTATCTACAGAGATGTTAATTCTTTAAAAAACTCGAATTTACCCTCCAATGACCAAGGGGCATGGTTATTTCACAATTCTGATCTTACTTATGGACGACATTCTTATTAATTGTTTTTAATTGTATTTTCTATGTTTTTTATGGTGGATATTTAAGCTTAAGCACAATGAAGGAATTTGTCGGGATTCATTACGTTTTCAGAGAGAAAAACTACAATATTTTCCTTATTTTAACTCAGATAGTACGATTACAGTTTATTGTAATGTAACATTGTAGACAATAAACCTAAAACTTTTCTCCGCAAAATGTCGTCTTAAACCAAATCATACCCGAAACCCAACATTTTTCTCCGACTAATAGACGCAACTCCGACCAATAGACGCAAAGTAAAACACGTTTCAATATAGTAAATGCTTAAAATCCATGATTATTGCTGTAAACAAGACAGGCTAGGAGGCCGGGCGCTGCGGCAACATGGTCAATTATATCCATGTCTTACATAGAAAAAGTATACCCGAGCGCGCAGGGTTAAAACGTAAATCATATTATATTTTCAACTGTTACAAAAGTAAAATTTTACGTTGGTAAAATATGAGTCAGAAAATTTCCTGAATATAGATTTCTACAAATTGCTGGGTATACAGGAATGGGCCTTTTTTAGTCATTAACGGGTAAACTGAAAATTTTTATCGACGAATATGAAGAAATTTCAAAAACTATATAAGCCGGAAAAATTGCTAAAAACGCGGAAGTCGCAACAAATATGCAGGCATCCTACAAAAATCCGCTATACTCCACTTCTGACCTACGCCAAATCCGCAATACTACACATCCGACCTACTAGCACGTGGTTTTACAGTTGCTATATGGACTTTTGGCCGCGGCACTCGGCCCCCTAGCCTGTCCTTGCCGCGGCGCTCGGCCCCCTAGCCTGTCCTTGCCGCAGCGCTCGGCCCCCTAGCCTGTCCTAGCCGCAGTTCTCGGCTCAAAAATTGTCATAACCTAACCTAACCCTCAAATGATACAAATATTGCATTAGGTCGGAAAGTTAGTAGGTCAGAACTAAACGGCAAAGAACGGTTCAAAAAAGGGACTATTGTTAATTCAGAAAACGAAATGTAAAATTTGAAATTAAATGATTGTGAAGAACAAGAAAAATTGAGAAAATATTTAATTTAAAACCAAATTTAAATGTTTTTGAAATAAAATGCTTAAAAGAATGAATTTCAAATTGTAAAAACAAATTTCCACATATAGCTCAATCTGGCTTCTACAAAAATCTTTGTGTTTATGATACATCAATATATTTATTTCCAAAGATGCCTCAAAAGGCACTTTATAGTTTAAACATTTGCCCAATAGAATTCCCCTTGAATTGGTTGGTTCATTTGGTTTACTGTATCGTTTTCCAGGTACCTGTATTGTATGTGTAGTTTGTTGTTCTGAGCCCGCGATTGAAAAAATTCGGGAAAATACGCCTCGGGTCTAAGCTGTTGTTGGGCTTGAGCTTTCGGATTCAAGCTGCATCTTATTTTTCACAGAGTTGAGTTTAAAAAGCGGTTTAAAATTCGATATTTGGCAAATTTTTATGGTAGGAATTGGCGCATTCTGGGTTTTATGAGAACAAGACTCAACATTGAGCCTTATTCTCCACTAAAACCAACCAAGGTCGGTTTTATTTTCGATTGGTCTAACGATCCTTAAGTCGAGCTGTCAATTACGTCACGTGACACAAGATGTCGTCAGAGTTGGGTCGAAGATTGGGTCTTATAATAGTCGGGTTTGAGGAATTACGGCTCGAGTCGAAGTTTTAAATAGCGGGCTCTGTAGAGCTTGCTCTAGCTGGTAAGATGTCGGCACTGTTCTTGAAATGAACCGGACTTAACAGTGTGGGAATTATTGAATTAATAGGCCAGCCTAAATGGCCGGCTGTAATGCAACACAGTATACAAATACACACTATTTAAGGCAACACTGGACAGCACACAAAATGATTTATCTCATTCTAGTTAAAGGAACTGAGCCTTTTCCACTAACGCTGATTTTTGAATTTCTATATCTTTGCAACATAATGTTGTAGACTTTAAATATTTCAAACTTAGATCAAATAATCCAAGTTTAGAATATCAAAGGTTTACACCAGTCTAGCTTGTTCAGATTTAGGGATAAAACCCTGAGGTTGTGGCAAAGGCTTATTTTATATATATAGGTAAACCGATTATTTAGAGTTTATTGAGAAATGAAGTTTATTATTCTGATGTTGGCTGGAATAGCCGTGGTTCACTCCTACAGATCACGTAACAGCAGCATGTGCACTGACAGCTCCAAACCTACATGCACTTGCGCTGATGGCACTGATATTCAAACTGCAAAGTAAGTTTTTTGTTTAAATGCCTAAACGCACTAAATTCAACTTAAAGAATAAAAATGTATTTTCCAGTTTTTGAGATAAATGACTGAAATAATAAAGTAGTCCCAAACAACTGATAGACAATCACCCTCCTCCAGGAATAAAAATAAAATTATACTTTAAATTTAACTTCTAAAAAATGAGTTTCAACATGGCATAAAACAATATTTTGCTAAATAATATTTGTTGAAGGCAAAATGGTTGGAAGTGTGGAGATGACACTAGGCCGACCTGCCTGTGTGATGATGGGTCTGCACCTAAGAAGCCAGACTCTTACTCTAATCACAATGGAGGATCACGTCACAGCGGGAAATGGAGCAGCATGTGCACAGACAGCTCTTCACCCACGTGCACTTGCGCTGATGGCACTGATATTGAAACTGCAAAGTAAGTTAATTTCTTAAAAAATCAGTATTGGATGAAATGGAACAAGTTTACCACAGTTAATCGGAATTCACTAAATCTTTTCCAAATTGGCTGAAAATTTTGAGGGAACTCATGGGTACCCTGGTGGTCACTTTGGCTAAATTTGTAAAAATAAAATAATATACACCAGGGTACTCTATGTACTCCCGCTCGTCACTTAATAAAAGAATATTACCTTTAAGGTAATTTTGAATTCTAATCTCAACATATTTACAAGTTACCAGATTTATCGGTAAATGCTTTATTTTGACACACTTGTACCCTGGGTTTGTAATTTAAACCTGCTCTAGAATCTAAGCTTAGCAAATTTTACACATTGTTAGCATAGTTTTTCTTGCATGCTAGATAAAGAAAATTCAAACATGGCTTAAATGGACTATAGTCGTAATTTCAGCAATACCCTGAAAAACTTTGTTTGATCAAGTATGAATAAGATATTAATGTTTACAATTATATAAAATGATTATTTTCAATTTTAATCTAAAAAAGTGACTTGGGCATTTTTAATGCAGGAAAACACTTAAAGCTAGAAAAACGAAAATATCTTCCGAAGTTTAGATCAGATAAAAGGTTTTAAGGTACCGCTGTGATTTAGACATTGCCATCTTTGCTGGAATGTCATTTGAAATTTTGCTTACAGTCCATTTATAACAATATTTTGACAAGCAATATTTCTTAAAGGCAAAACCGTTGGAAGTGCGGAGATGAGTCTCGGCCCAGCTGTCTGTGTGATGATGGCACTGCTCCAAAGAAGCCAAGTCCCTGCTCTGATGGATCTCAACCAACATGTCCAGGTGAGCACAGTTCTTGTTTTGCTGAAGGGACAGTCTTTTTGATTTTGGCCATTGAGCTTTAAGTTTCTCTTCTGCTCGGATTTAAAGTTGATTCTGAATTTCATTCTTTAAAAGCTCTGACAAACTTTTTTTGGTGCTAAGAAAGTAAGAACATTGTAAATTTCTATTTTTAAACTTAAAATTTTACATTTTCCATATTATACATAGGAAGTGAAATATATATAACTACATAATTTTTTTTCTATTTACGTCCCAATAAACTTGGGAATTGAGAGACGACTTTAATATCGTCTTTGATTTCCGATAATTTAGGAATGACATAATGTACATAGAAAAAAGATTGAAAGTCTAATAGAGCTTTCCAAAATGTGGTCTACCTTTTTTGCTTCTTTGAAATAGACCGAAATATTAAACATTTAAACAGTTTTGTTGATTTTCAATAAACTAGATTCTGAACAAATTTCCAAATATCTTAGTCGATTTTTAAGGTGAAAAAATGGTAGACCACATCTTGGAAATCCCGAGACTAGGAGTTTTCGGTGTTAAATGTTTTAACTGTGATTATTCAAAATATAATGTTTTGTAAATAATCCCGTATGAAACAAAGACGATATTGAAGTCGTCATGTAATTCCAATGTTTTTTGGGACACCCTGTACATAACAATCAAAAAAGATCATGTCGGTTTTTTTTCCATTTAACGGTTGAAAAATCTAAAACCAGTAAAAGATGGGGCAGCAATAGTTATTAAAAACTGATTCATTTTACAAACTTCCCAACAAACCAAATTACATAAAAATTATAAAGTGATGATTTATCTTGTTAGGAGCCTGTGATGATGGAAGTGATGCTGTTCTTAATGGTGATTGGTCTACCCCACCTTGTGCTGATAGCTCCAGACCAGACATGTCTAAATGTGTCTGTGCTAATGGGGAAAAAGCTTGGGCTGGATTTGGAGGCCACCACGGAGGACCACATCAAGGATGGCATCGGCAAGGAGGATCAGAAAGAAGAAGCTCCTGGATTAAAGACAACTAATATCTGAACAGCTTTTATTAAAAAGTTATATTTTTTCACTTAAAATTTTAGTTTTCCATTTTAATATTAACTTGTTGCATGCACAGTCTTTTGTTTTTAAACACTTGTGAATTCGGATTCTTCAAGTTAAATACACATTCTTCATTATTTCAATAATATTCTTATAATATTTATAATTTTTGGAAATTGTTAGAATCAATAATTGAGTTGAATTTAAACAGAGGGCTAAGATTATCCCTCTTTACTCCTCTGTATCCTTCTTCACAATGTTGTACCCATCTATACACTGCAGGTACTCCCTATACCTACCTCTTTACTCCTGCACCCCTGTATCCACACTGTGTTCTTGTGCACCTCTCCGTACTCTTTTGTACCACTCTTAATTCCTTTGTACCCCTTTTTACCTCTAGCCACAAGCTCTTCACCTCTGCACACCTCTGTACCCCTTTGTACTCCTCTGTACCCCTATGTACACCTCTGTACACCTCTGTACCTCTCTAGACCCCTTTGTTCTCTTCTGTACCCCTATGTCCACCTCTGTTCCCATGTACCCCTTTGTACTCCTCTGAACCCCTCTGTATCCCTTTGTAATTCTCTGTACCCCTTTGTACTCCTCTGTACTCCTCTGTACTCCTTTGTACTTCTTTGTAACCCTATGCACCTCTTTGTAATCCTTGCAGAAGAGTAAAGGTAGAGAAAGAACCTTGTATAGAATATTTCTCCGATATGTCCCTTTCTCTGCAGTCTAGCTCCGTCTACGGAGCAACATACCGGAGAATATACAGGGCCAAAGCCTTCAACCTTCAAGAAACCAATAACAAAAGGGGAGGGGGAGGGATACAATTGAGGAAAAACAAATAATTGCTGTTATACTAAAACGGGCTAATAATTCATAAAAGTTTGTTAAAAATGAATAATTCACTTCAAAGTTTTTTATACGCTTTCTAACAGTAGGAAACCATGTTTTACAATGGATCATGAAACTCATTTCATAGTTTATAACAGATCTATTGATAAATTTCAGTTTTAAAGGGACTTTAAGCTTAAATTACACGTGACTCTTTGTTTAAAGAGGACTATAATATGTCTGTTTAAAGAGGACTATAATATGTCTGTTTAAAGAGGACTATAATATATCTGTTTAAAGAGGACTATAATATGTCTGTTTAAAGAGGACTATAATATGTATGTTAAAGAGGACTATAATATGCCTGATTTAAGAGGACTATAATATGTCTGTTTAAAGAGGACTATAATATGTCTGTTTTAAAGAGGACTATAATATGTCTGTTTAAAGAGGACTATAATATGTCTGTTTAAAGAGGACTATAATATGTCTGATTTAAGAGGACTATAATATGTCTGTTTAAAGAGGACTATAATATGTCTGTTTAAAAAGGACTATAATATGTCTGATTTAAGAGGACTATATGTCTGATTTAAGACACGTGGTATGGGGTACTCAGCTATAAACCTTTATCTTATTAATAATGTGAAAGATAATGTGAAAGATAAAGTTGTTTATCTATCTTGAAATGTGTCTAATTCTGTCAATTTTCTTCATTGTTTCTTTAGCAGAAATACGCTTGTCCCTTCAGTAGAAAAACAACAGTTGTCAAAGAAAAATGCACGGATAGCATGTTCATTTATGACTAAACATTCTGATGAATATTAAGCCAAATTTAAAGAATTTGAGCCGCGGCTTCAAGTTGAGACGTGTCTCAAATATGGTTGATTTCACTTAAAATTGTATTCAATGTTTCAAGATTTAGGCCGGCGCTCATTTGAAACCGGTTTTTGGCGGATTTAAGACGCGGCTCAATCTCATTAAATTCGGACTCTGACTCTGACTCTATAAATGTATAGTAACTAAAATCTACACTCTACATTCGTGTTATGCAGTTGATATCTCGGCATTTAACTAATTCTCTGGAGTCTATCTATACTTGAGTTTTATCAACTTCTCTTAAAGTAGCAATATGAAACAATTCTAATGTGTATATGATACTTGATTCACCCTATATACCCATTACTTTTAAACAACATTACCATTAAACGGACTGTAAGGGTAATTAATTACAAGTGACACTCCAGTCAAAGATAGCAATATCCGATTCACAACAGTACCCCTGAAAGCTGTGTCTGTAGTTTATTCTGAAAACAGAATATTTTCAACTGTGTTTTCTCTGCCAAAGTGACTTTGCATTTATAATGCAGGGAAAACATAGAAATTATCAGAATTTAACACTTTTAACCCTAGAAAAGGAGAGAATCTTCCTCATTATTGATCAGAAAAAGGTTTCCAGGGCCGGTACCGTTGTGATGTGGGTAGTGTTATCTTTGCATGAAGATTTACTTGAAATTACGCTTATATCCTTTTTAGAAATAAATATCCATATTTTACCATTTCTTTGTTTATCTGTATATAGAATATGTATGTATATAATATGTATGTATATAATATAATAAGATATCTGTCATTTTAAATTATTTATATATATTTTGTGTAAAGGTTCCTGTTTTTTGAGTTGTTACTGCAGCAGAGTAAGAAAACAATCTCATTTTCTCATCTTTAATTGAACAAAACAAATTGATCCTCTTTTATTGTTAAAACCTAATATTTTAGTGAGTAACATTGTTAACACCCTGTGTTAATAAATAGACTAGCCAAACACCCTGTATTAATAAATTAGTCTAGTTGAGCACCCAGTATGAACAAATAGTCTGGTTAAACAGCCTGTGTTAAAGGATTAGTCTAGTTTAACACCCTGTATTATTGAATAGTCTTGTTGAAACACCTTGTGTTAATGAATAGTATAGTTGAACACCCTGTATTAATTAATAGTCTAGTTGAACACCCTGTGATGATAAATGTTCTGGTTGAACACCCTGAATTATCGAATTATCTGGTTGAAACACCCTGTGTTAATGAATAGTCTAGTTGAACACCCTGTGTTGATAAATGTTCTTGTTGAACATCCTTTATTAATGAAAAATCTAGTTGAACACCTTGTGATGATAAATAGTCTGGTTGAACACACTCTGTTAATAAATAGTCTAGTTGAACATCCAATATTGAAAAATAGTCTGGTTGAACACCCTGTGATGATAAATAGTCTGGTTGAACACCCTGTTATGATAAATAGTCTGGTTGAACACCCTGATGATAAATAGCATGGTTGAACACCCTGTGATGATAAATAGTCTGGTTGAACACCCTGTGTTAATGAATATTCTGGCTAAACATGGTTGACCAATTTAATCAATAGAAGCCCTAGAGGTTTAGAGAACTGGATACTTGGGTCACGCTAATCCAATTCTACAGATTCATTTTTTACAGAGGCAGTTCTCTAAACATTGTTCCTGCACGTCAAACTAAAGTAAATTGCACGAATTGAGACAGGCAAAAATGTTTTGAATTTCGATCTACATGTATGAGAATACATTTTTATTCTTCATACTTTTGCATTAAATAAAAACTAGGGGAGCTACGAGGTCACAAAGTTGTAACAATGATCTACTGTTCACCTTTATATAGGGTTTACCCACAAAGGAAATGACTTCAAAGACGACTATAAGGAATTTATTTAGAATTTTTTTTTACAATGGATCCCTGCAGGATAAAACTAGCTTCTTTCTTTTAGAATTTGTTTCGAAAACCTTTTAAATAAAAGATTAGGTTGCTCCTAAAACCCAAAAATTAAGCTTTAAAGCAATATGTGCATCATATAATAATTCCCTGCACTTTATACAAATAATCTTTAGAAATAAAATGTAGCTCAATACAATATAAATTTAAATTGAAAAATTCGAATAAAAAGTAATTTAAATAATATGTAATTGAAACGGTGTTATGGGTACTTTCCCATAGATATTTTCCAAGGGCTACTTCCCAAGTATCATTTTCCCAAGTGGCAGCTTCCCACATGTGCAACTTCCCAAAGGTTAGATTAGGCACTCTTAGGCGCCATAGGCTGTAATTGGGGCCCGAGCGCTGCGGCTAGAACAGGCTGGAGGGGGGGGGGGGCGAGCACTGCGCCTAGGACAGACTTGGGAAGTCGCTGCTTGGGAAATTGAACATTTGGGAAGTTGCCACTTGGGAAAATATACTTGGGAAGTTTTCGCTTGGGAAAATGCCTTTGGGAAAGTCCCAAACATCATTGGAAGAGCGTGGGATTTATTAGAGATGAAAGGAAAGGATGAAACGTAATTGGATTAGAGAATATTAACATAGCTGTCTATCCAGTATAGGTCTGTCTCGCTTTTTAGATTTTTGGCTGTCTAGATAGATGTATGTCTGTGAAGTATTTGTCTATCTGTCTAATTATTTATCCGTCTGTATAGATAGATATCAGTCTGTCAAGTATATTTATGTCTGTCTAGAAAGATGTCATTATGCCTACTATATTTCCGTTTGTCTAGATAGATGTCAGTCTTTGTAGTAGATGTCTGTCTGTCAACATAGATGCCAGTCTGTCTAGATAGATGTTAGTCTGTCTATATAGATGGGTGTCTCTAGATAGTTGAACTGTCTGTCTAGATAGATGTCAGTATGTCTAGATAGATGTCTGTCAGTCTATATACATGTTTGTCTATGTTAGATGTCTGTCTAGTAGATTTCTTATTTTCATTATATACTGTTGTTGATTGTAACTGAAATATACTTTCTAATATAGATATCATATTTATGGATTTAATTTTGTGGTTTTAAATATTTTTTTTACATGAAAATATTAGGAATCCTAGAAAAGTTAAATTATTTTTGTAGAAACTAACTTCTTTGTAGAATGTTTCATCAGTTCTAAGAAACATTGAAGAGAAATAGAAAGGATTACTTCATTAACCAATTCTATTGAATTCTGGAATTAAACCTAACAATATATATATCACTTGATTTATAACCCCCTTGCTAAATAATACAAAACCAATCCAATCAGTTTATAGGATAAGAATAATGTTGTATATATTAACCAAAGGTTTAGATCTTAATACCTGCTTTCCTTCCAATAAACCTTAGTTAGTCCGGGACAGCAAATAAATCAACATCATTGTGTAATTTCTAATACTAGGCTGTCAGGGCCCATCTTAAATTTCAAATTTTAATAAATTGTCAATCTATTAACATTTTTTTCGATAGAACAATGAAAAAAAATGTTGCGGATTTACAATTTTTTGTAGATATTTAGAATTTTACGAAAATAAAAAATGTTTGTTTACAAATTTTTTAAATTTTAAAAATTTTTTGGGATTTTTGGGGTTAAAAAGTGGATTGAGTTTTAAAGTTTGAAAATGGATAAGTCTATAGTTTAATTCAAAAGTAGTTTCTTTGCAAAGTGGAGTGATTGAAAGAGGATAATCGAGTTGTTTGGTTTGAGAAATACATCAATCGAGTTCATCTAAGGAATTATTTAATCGAGTTTTTTTGTGAATTTTCAAAATTTTACGGAAATCAAAAATTTTGGATATAAATTTTTAAAACTCTTATACCTTCCTTGGGGTCATGTGAGGTCCCAATCGGTTCAGTCGTTTTGACGTTTATTGGATACAATTCATTCTGATTTTATTGGGTTGAAAGAACCAATCTAATCCGTGGAGTTGGTTTGGTTGAATTATTGGAATAGATATGTTGCATGTTAAATTTCTGGTTAGTTTATAAGAGACTCCACAAGAATGTATTTTGCAAAATTGTAGCGCTTATAATCAAAATGAAAATTAAAAATGATTTAATCAATCGATTTTATTTTCAGTTTCAGCCTTCTGTCACAATATGTAACTAAAGCAAATCAACTAATATGAACATACAATTTAAAATATGATTAACATCTTAACCTCTTGATATAAAAAAACTTGAAAAATAAACCATAAAAACATCATGCCCATCTGTAGTTTAAAGAGAGTGCCGGGTTGGATGAATTTGAAATAAATAAAAAGAAGTTTAGAAGTTCTACAGGTTGGAATGAAAATAGAATAGGAAATCCAATACCGAAAGAGATATTCAACTTTTTTTTTTATAAATAATTCAGTTTATATAGAACCCAAAATTAATTTCTTAAACTGACAAGGAATAATATCAAGTGTGATCTTTTTATATCAATTTATATTTAGGCTAAAAGTTTAAGTTTCCTTTTACAAGTCCTAAAACCATAAATGTTCAAGCTCAACCAGAAAAAAAGCCTTACTTTGATTTACATATAATACAAACTGTGTACATAATAACGGTAGTGGTCCCCCACCCATTTTTTAATGTAAAAATATTACATATTTTAAGCACTTTGACAGAAAACACAGACCACATTTTGAAAATTTCAAAAATTATTATCATTTGAAGTGTATTGGATGTTGTAACAACGTAAATAGTTTCACTAGTAACTCATAAAATCACTTATTAAGTGAAATGTTTCTGTTTACACAAGTGCTGTGTCTCATTTGACTATTTAAAATCTTATTTTGAGTCTGAAGGTCGTTTTCCTATTCCAGAGTTTTCTGGTTCTCTCCGTATCATATATAATTTAAACAATTTTTAAACCAAGCACGAGGTGCGAGGTGCGAGGTTTTAATTAGACAACTTACAGTCAAGGGGTTCCCAAGTTATGATCGGACGTGCAAACTTCCTATAGATAAATACTTTGCAGATTACTAGCTTGGGAATCCATCTTTGACTGGAAACTAAGTTTCCTTTACAAAGAGATTTGATGAAACTATATATTTTCTGCCAATTCTAGAAACTAAATCATAATATTTTAAAACTTATAAAAACATATTTTTTTTCTCACTTTTTTCACATTTTTTAGGCATTTTTTTCAACCCTCTCAAGCACCCAAACTATAAAAGTTATCGGTATATTTTTTTAATAGCTGGTCATGAACAAACATTTTAACCCTAGACCTTTAGCCTTTTATATGTTTGGGTAGAAAATTTAAGAAAATATTTTTTCATCTAATTTTATTTTTAAACTTTCATATTTCAAAAAGTTTTCTTTGTGTTTTAGATTAATAAAGTTGCAAATATTTAAATATTATATACATGAATATATTAAATATCTATTATATAGATTGAAAAACATATTAGACTTTAAAATCATTTTGTTCAAGACAATTTTTTTTACAATATATGTTCACGTTTTTTAAATGTTGGTTTTATTCCGATAATTACTTGCAGAGTCCGGGTTAGATTTAACCAGGATTATTTTGCTATAAAATGTAAGATTATAATGTTGTTCCTCCACTAAACAAGCTACAACTATAGAATTCAAATACACTTATTATATCTTTTATTAGCCGTGATCGCTTTTTATGTTACTATCTATATTCTGTTAACCCTATCACGATGGAGGGGGTGGCCCTTGGGTGTTTTCAACTCCTCCCCCCTGTAATTGTTTCTTTATAGCTCAAAAACGACATTCATTAGAACGCTAAAACGTGTTAACATTTTCAAATTTTAATAAATTTGTTTTTGACACATAGGGTAGCAAGGTGATAATGCAAGGAAAGTTAATTGCAGTTGCGTATACTCTGCGTACATATTGAAACCAGTTCTCTCTGAGCGGAATTTTTAAACAAGAATAGATGCATCAGTGTTCGTTTAGTTTCCGAGGAGGTTTACTGCATTAAATTTTGATAATTCAAATAATAATTTCCTATGACCAGAATATTTCATTATTTTTTATGTGAAAGATGGATCCATGTCAGATTTCGACATCCGTCTTGTGTTTACATTACCGCCCAAAGACAGTGCAATGCAGTACAAAAGATGCGCACACCTCTGAAATAACTTTCCTTGCATTATAACCATGGTCTCATGTTAATAATAGACAATGTAAAAAAATATTTTTACACATTTTACGTACTCTTTGAACTTTTTTTGCCAACCTATTTTTAAGACAAAATTACCAGCAATAAACCTTCTTTGCATTGAGACAACAAATTTGGATCCCAATGGTTCAATAGTTTTGACATTTATGATGCAGAAAATTAATATTGGTCCATGGAAGCTTTGAAAATTGGCAGGCAGTGCTTTTTAAAATTATTTAGTAGCTTTCATAATGTTGAATGTTAAAGATTCTTTTAATATTCTTGGTTAACCTGAACATTATTTAATAATTCACATGAGTTCTAGAAATGAACAGCCACTTCTTCCCAGCTTAACCCAGAACACTATATCTAGAGAAGTGGTTGAACTACGTGTGTCCGGTTCAGCTACTTTTTACTATTCATTAATTTGGGCCTAGGAACATTTATTAATTTCTCTTTTATAAAATTGAAAACTCGAAACATTATAAACGAATTTTCAATTATATGTTTTATTACTACATAGTACATGTAATATTGAGATTTACGGATCAAAAAGGTTCTAATTGGTTTTAGGTTTCAACATGAAATACCTTTTTTTCTGTCACTCTGTATTATCTCGTTTTCTCTTTGTTTGTTCCACTGCAAGGTCAAATAAAGGATAAGGTAAAATGTATGCAGCGTGACTGCTGTGATTTTGTGACCTCGCAGCTCCTATACACTCCTGTATGCCGAGTCCGATAGCACCTGGTCCAATCAGGGTTCATTCATGTGTTTGTTGTCTATTCTGAACCAATCTATCTCATTATCCAATTAGAGTTATGAATCCTTCAATCGGCGCTATCAGTAAATGGAAATATTTACTTCTACTGAAACTTTAATGTATAGTTTGATTGTACACGTAAGGATGAACAAAGAAACTTTATTTACATAATAAAGATGCATTACATTTTTTTCTTCTTGATAGCTTTTAGCTATGAGAAAAAATGAAATTCCTTTTTCCCTCTTTGTTTATTTCCTGTTCCGTCTTTTCTAAATATTTCCTTTTTCCTTTTGCAGCTTAACTCTCCCTTTCCTTACCAAGTTCTTTTTCTTTTTTGTTTTAAATTTTTCTCACTTTTTCACTCATTTTCCTTTATTATTTCTCTCTTTAAAAAACTCTTTTTATAGCTGCGGTACAAAACAATAATTTAGTCTTTAAAATAGGTTAAAGTATTTTATCGGGAACTATCTGGGGAACCCAGCTTATACTTGGAAATAAATCAACACACTTAACTTAGAAGTTTAAAACAAAGCTAAGAACATAACCGTGGTTCTACTGAGGATTCTAATCATAATTTGAAACAAATCAACCAAGGTGTTTCTGAGTTATGATCTAACATCAAAATCAAACAGACAGACAAACAGAGAATATTACTTTAAAAGTAAAGATGAGGTAGCCTGGTAGGAACATAATGTGATTACAGGATTAAAAAAGAAATAACTTGCCCAACCAAATTCCACTGTCCCCAATCCCCATCCATCATTCTAAATTTAGAAATAAAATTTGGCAATAAAAGTTGGATGGCTGCGACAAAAATCACTGATATTCAATAAAAATTTGTTTTTTGGCAGTAAAAGTTGGATGACTAGTAAATACGCGAATATAAGCGATTTATTAGCAATTTTTTTGTATTTCACAATTTGGAGTGAACCATTTTTCAACAACTCCTTTAATAATTTCAGATGTCTGCAGTCTAATAAAATGGCTCCTTTTAATCTAAAAATTGGGAAGGGCTCCCCCTGCACCGGCTCAGATGGGTGAGTAAAAACGACTTTTTTATTTTATGAAATTGTCCTCAATGAATTGTCCCAGCTATGATATGTCTTTTTATATGAAATATCTTTGTAACAACAGGAGCGGCTTATGCTATTTTCAAGGGGAGGGGGGAATATTCTTAAATTCAAAATTCAAGCACTTTAAAAGATGGCTGCACTCTCTTCTTTTGCTTCTAATTTTTCCAGGAGGGTACGCACCCCCCAATTCTCCAGGGAGGGGTACGTTTCACGTTCTAATTTTCCGGAACGTATATTTTTCTTGCACAATAAGAATATACTTTTTTTGCGTGAACCATTTTGTTTCACGCAAAATCAGTTCAGAGAAGTTAGTCTTTGTTACAATGATTTTCTATTCCCTATATCTTTGCAAACCAATGTTCTAGACCTGAGATAGTTCAAACTATAAATTTGTGTCCAATTTCAAAGGTTTACACTCAGGTTAAAAAGATATGTGTCGAACATTCAGTTTCTGAAAAAAAATCTTAAAAATAATAATACCCCCCAATTCTCCAGTGAGGGGTACGTTTCACGTTCTAGTTTTCCGGATCGTATATTTTTCTTGCACAATAAGAATAAAAACAACGGTTAGTCTAAATACTTTTTTTTGGCGTGAACCATTTTGTTTCACGCAAAATCAGTTGCAAACCAATGTTCTAGACCTGAGATAGTACAAACTATGAATTTTGTTTCCAATTTCAAAGGTTTACACTCAGGTTAAAAAGATGTGTCGAACACTCAATTTCTGAAAAAAAAATCTAAAAATAATTAAAGAAAATAACTTTTTTTCAAAACTTAAAAGATTTCTTATAAAATAAAATCCTTAAATAAGCAAAAAGTGTGTATTTATTCCCTCCAATACAACAGCCTTCTTATCCACCGTCTAAACCTAATTGTATTTGTCTATCTCAGCTGAATGGAGTTAATCTTATTGATATTTGTTAAGCTTTATGATAGATATTACTTTTTATATTCCCTGAAACAATTACAGAATATAATAACTTGGATTATTGGTTCAAGGGGGGGGGGCAGGGGGGAGTTATACTGCAGGGATAAACAGATACCAATGAGATAGGAAGACGACATTATAGCAATACTGAAGTGTATTTGATGTTGTTATCAAAGCAAATAGTTTAACTAGCCACTTACACTTATTAAATTAATAATTTAGTAATATTGGTCGGTTGTCACTGAACAATTGCAGTGTACGTCTCATGCTCATTAAACTATTTAAAGTTATAACTTGATTCTAAAAGTCGTCTTCCTATTTAAAAGTTTTCTTGTTATTACTGTATTCATATACAGTGATATAGGAAGGTGAACTATAAGTATAATTTAAAATATTCCAATGAACATAAAACACGGCAATTGGGCTTTCCACTGAATTACTAGTTTTCTAGCTTCTGATAAAGCTATTTTCTTCTCAGCAACATCTAATACATTTGATACTGCATACATGTTGTCTTCCTATTCTACAGATTTATGTGTATCTATATAAAGCACACACTACACAGACAGCTCATAATACACTCTACCTGGATAGGCTGAGCAGGCCTATAGTGTCCCGGCACGCCATTCTACGGTTCCAATGTTATGTTTTTTGACTGACATCTTACGGCCACTTGTTGCATTCAGGGGTTAAGTTTTACAACTTTTAAAGAAATATTCCAATTTTAAACATAAAACATAACGTTTATGAATATTCTCTATTTTTAAAGATTTTGCATTTCCTATTCAAAGGATCCTTAAGTGTATCTATATACAGCACACACTACACAGACAGCTCATAATACACTCTACCTGGATAGGCTGAGCAGGCCTATAGTGTCCCGGCACGCCATTCTACGGTTCCAATGTAATGTTTTTTGACTGACATCTTACGGCCACTTGTTGCATTCAGGGGTTAAGTTTTACAACTTTAAAAGAAATATTCCAATTTTAAACATAAAACATAACGTTTATGAATATTCTCTATCTTTTAAGATTTTTCCTTTCCTATTCAAAGGATCCAAAAATATCCCTGAATACATATGTCTCCTGATTGGTCGTGTACAGTACAATAGAACATGCTCTGGAAAATATCGCATATTATAGGTGTTAATCGATCTCTGTAACTCTTTTATCTCTGATATGAAGTGTATAGGACACATCTGAAAATGGTTGTCATTAGAAAACTGAGTTAATTTCGAATTTGTTTGAGAAAGAGGTTGAGTAAAAATTAATTAATCTGCCAGTTTATTTTAATGTCACTTCTTGTAGAACTCTTATAAATTAAGAAGCTATTAAAAGTTTCAAAACTTGGTAGAATTTGAAGTTTTGTTTTTACCTTAATAACTAACTTTTTTTGTTTTGGTATCCCTAGACATGAACTCTATTTGAACTCTATAACATTTGTTTAAGCTTAAAGGGAGTGTTCGCGAAAAATGAAAGGGGGTATAGGCTTAATTCGATAAAAAAGCGCTTTTGATCGCTACTAATCTTACTTCTATCTGTTTCGTCTATAAGGAATAAATTGATAAAGACGTCTCATACCGAAATGCGTAGCGCCCATACAAATTGAGGAAGTTGGAACATACGACTTAGACCGTAAAAAAATCAAAAAAATTTGGGCCCGATCGGTTCAGCCGTTTTGACGTTTATTGGATACAAACAGACAGACAAACAGACAAACAGACAAGCCAAATTTATATATAGATTTATTTAATTTTAGACTCGGATAAAACTTTTTAAATGTTTAACATTTTAGTTTGATCAAAGCAGAAAAACTATGAATAAGAGGGATCTCTTCATTTTCTTTCGCAAAGCATCCAAATTCATATTAATAAAGGGACTAAACTTATTTTAAAGTGAGTGATCGTATTTCTAAGGGGGATTTTATGGAATTTATAAATCTTTCTTTATATAAAGATAATTCGACGATGTTGACTGCAAACATTTAACAATTTTCAATTATCTCCATTTTATCATCCCCAAGAAATACGTTCACTCGATATACATGTGTACAGTGTTTGATACGTAAACATGTCGTGATGTACATAACCGACCTCTCTATTAATTAATTAATAGAGAGGTCGGTTATGTACATCTGAGTTAAGCTTTACCTCTAAGTTTCCTTTCTCTATGGTTTTCCTGCAGTAGAAATGCGCAAATTCACTTTGTAAGAAATCACAACTGAAAATAATCAATTTTCAAAACTATAAACTTTGATCTCAAATGTATACTTAATCAGACAAAGATTTTAAAGGTTCTCTTGAAATTACGCGAACAGTCCCTTTATCTGACCCTCTAGTTTCATTGTCAGATTCCCAAACAGCGTAACCACGAGAAACCAATATTAAATAGAGACCCTAATTTTAGATAGAAAACCCAGGATATCTTTATCTTTTTTTTTCTAAGTTAAAGCTTTAAAGGATGCCGATGGAAAAAATGGCATGCAACTCTTTAAATGTCTGGATGGAAAAAATGGCATACAACTCTTTAAATGTTTGGATGGAAAAAATGGCATGCAACTCTATCAATATCTGGATGGAAAAAAATGGCATGCAACTCTTTAAATGTCTGGATGGAAAAATCGCATGCAACTCTTTAAATGTCTGGATGGAAAAAATGGCATGCAACTCTATACATATCTGGATGGAAAAAATGGCATGCAACTCTATAAATGTCTGGATGGAAAAAACGGCATGCAACTCTTTAAATGTCTGGATGGAAAAAATGACATGCAACTCTTTAGATGGAAAAAATGGCATGCAACTCTATAAATGTCTGGATGGAAAAAACGGCATGCAACTTTTTAAATATCTGGATGGAAAAAATGGCATGCAACTCTTTAAATGTCTGGATTGAAAAAATTGCATGCAACTCTTTAAATGTCTGGATGGAAAAAACGGCATGCAACTCTATAAATGTCTGGATGAAAAAAAATGACATGGAACTCTATAAATGTCTGGATGGAAAAAATGACCTTGCAACTCTATAAATGTCTGGATGGAAAAAAATTACATGCAACTCTATCAATATCTGGATGGAAACAATGGCATGCAACTCTATAAATGTCAGGATGGAAACAATGGCATGCAACTTTATAAATGTCAGGATGGAAACAATGGATATACTAACGAATGTCCTGTTTTACTTTATAGATTGTAAAAAGCTATCCATTTTTACCCATTTAATGAAGATATTTCGTATTTGCTATTTTTTGCTTTTTATATATATATTAAACGCTTTTTAACAGGATAAACGGGATGTTCTAACGAACACTAAATGTTGTTTGTTTACAATAAAACTAGTTCTAGATCTGTCCTAATATGTCACAAAAGAATGCAAACAAACTTTATAATTATCCAATAATTGTTTATGAGGTATTCTATTGTATATTGTAAGTGTGTCGAGTTGGCAACCCAGAAAGTTTTCTATGTTCGTGACAAAGTTATATTTATTTTTATATTTCTGATAAGAAAAGAATTCACATGATGATATATGTAATTTATAATTCATCTCAATAGCTATTTGGATTTCCTGGTGTTTCTTACTTCTCATAAAATTCCCTCACTTTATGGTCCACTCTTGCCTTTTAACAATATAAGTTTTAAAACGGAGTTTTAAAATGAAGGGCCCAAAAAAGATTCAGTCTGCTTGTAAAAATGTTCATAAAGGATTTGAGTCTTTGTCACAAACTCTAATTATCTAAGTCCTATATATCTGCAATCCAATGTCGTAGACCTTAGATATTTTGAACTATGATATCTGTTGCATCAAATTATCTTAGTTTGAAATATCAAAAGTCTACAACATCAGGTTCCATAGATATAGGGATTAGAAAATTTGATTTTGTGGCAAAAACTCAATTCCTTTCTTAGACCGGGTCGACTTTGATTTTACTGCTCTAACTCACTTATGGTTTTCTGTAGCTCTTGACATGTACATTTTAGCACTATATAAAGCACTTATTGTTAACTTTAGTTTTAACAAAAGTGATTTTCAAAATTCTCAACGATTTTTCCTTGAGAGCTTAAAACCTTTAAATCACAGTGATTTCTTACTTTGACGCTCCTTTACGCGGAGTTCGGCCCTTCTCCAAGAGAAAGCTGTGACTTTTGATCACAATTTGACATATTAAACATTAGCTTTCCGCCTTTTCTCTTTTATATTTTTTTGTCGAAATATGCGTTTTAAACAACAATGAATAAAAGACAAGTCCGTAAATTTAAAGGTATTTAAATTAAAGACCAACACAGGATTGAATTCAAATTGAAGAAACCGAATGCATCTCGCCCTGGTTAGTCTAGGAATGTAATTATCATTAATATGGAGTATCACTAATACAGCATTTTTTTCACATTTTCCTGAATACTTTTTATCCTGTTCTCTCCTTGTCAAGTGCAGAGTCCTAATTGGACCCGTATATAAAGTGTAGGTCCCTGCAGATAATATAATGATTCAATAAAAAAAAATATATATGAATATCTACACTGCTATAAGGAGTTATATACCTCATATGTTATATAAGATGGTTATGAAGGACTGTATATTGTCTAGGATGGATATGAAGGACTGTATGGGAATGTTATTCTCTAGTCTGCATGGTGGTTCTCATGTACATTCAAACCATCATAACACCCACAACCTTCATTGGTCTGCTCACACCCAGGCAGCTGTACTTTCTATTGGGGTAAGTTGTAAACAAGACTGTACTGCCATCTGTTTAAATGTAAACAAAGAAAAAATGTTGGTCAATATAATACTTAAATTTTATCAACAAAAAAAAAGAAACAAAATAATTTTTTATTTAGAACTTAAATTCTATTCCATCCCCTTTCATAAACATATTTTGATAAATAAAATAGATTTTGATATTTTGATAATCTTAACCTCATGTATCCAGCAAATACTTTTATGTTGATTGTTGTAAAATAACAATGTTTCCATTTTTTGTATTCACCCTGTACGAACCAAGGAACATTTTTGTGAAAAAAAACGTGACGTTCTGAAAAAAAAGAAAGATGGATCTGTTCAGACAAATGAAAAAACTATCGTTTTTAAAAACTAACGAAAAAACCAAATATGAACAACTTAAAATTGTTCAAACAATCATTTTCTTACTGAACGAACAGATTTTCTAAAAAAAAAGTTGAAAAAGCGATATTTTTTCTTTACGAACGATTTTTCAAAGATAGTTTATTTCCTCAATTACAGATTTTTAAAACAAACTATTAAATAAACGATCGTTTTTTAATGTACGAATGACTATATTGAACAAACAGTTTCACAAACAATGAAGGAACAAAATTAAAAAAAAAACGCGTCCATTTCTACATTGTAGTGGTGTTAATTCCACTCATAGTTTTTTCTAGTCTTTAACTTTATAGTTCCATACTTAGTTAAATCTATGTCAGTTTGCTAAAATCAGCTGTACAATTAATTTATCCACAGCGTCAGAAGAAGAAGGTCAAATGTATGCGTCGACATCACTGGTACAATTTGTGACCTTGTAGCTACAGGTTGTCCCACGAAACATGACATAGTGAATAGTTTAAAATGTTTTCTTTTATAATTTATTATATTGCAGTTATATAATTGCAAAATTTATCTTGATAATAATAATTTAGATATTGATAATAATAATAATTTAAATAATAATAATAATAATAATAATAATTATAATAATGATAAAAAAGAGAAGTAAACAGATTGTTACTCTTTAGCTCAGAGCATAACTGCATGTTTTTTGATTTCAAAATCCCAGAAAAATGATTTGTCAAAACAACACAGAAATCTATATCTTTAAAGAGGGTATAAGACTAGGATTTAACCCTAACCAGACCAAACTGAAGTAATTTTTAGAAATTTTTTAAAAATCTATAAAATATGCTTTCATATATTCGCGATACGTTTAGGCCGCCATATTGATGTTTACAATGAACCTTTGAATTGGGTGTGTATTACACTGCAATACGGTATTTGTTTATAATAATTTTGTTTTGTTCAAAATCTCAAACTTTAAACATGGCGACATTACTTTGTAAAGTCCATTACGGTTACAGAAGTGTATGGAGGGACAATTTTTTAATTATGGATTATCAAAAACATAACCTGCTTTTAAACAGTACTCCGTTCAACCGTTGGATAGTTTCTTAACCTTTTAATACCTATTATATAGCTTTATGTAAAGAAATAATTATTATTATTACAAATATGTTAACTTAATTTAGTTAGAAATAATTTGATTTAATAATTGCCAAATAATTATGAATATGAAGAAGTTGTTATAAATAAAACCACTGCGAATTAGACAGAAATAGAGTTGATCAATTAATGCGATATTACTGGTAAAACTTTGTGACCTCATAGCTTTTCCAGTTTCCATTTAATGCATAAGTATGAAAACTTCAATTAAAAGAGTTATGACTTTAGTTTTGATGTGGAATGTGATTTTAATGAAATCCGAACGCCCCAGATTTCTAACGAAATTGCTTGAGAGAAACAAAGAAGAATCTGAAAATCATGGTTCGTTAGCCTCAAGATTCAATCCAATATTTTAAAGAATCTTCAAAAGATTTGTGAGAAGATGAATTTTCTAAAATATAAAGAAGATAATTCAATTTTCAGAACTGGTATAACAATGGTATAACTATTTTCGAGAAATTCTTATATATTTAATAAAGTAACCAGACAAGTTTGAAATCAATACAGCAAGATATCTTTATCATTTATCATTATCATTTATCAAAAATGTGGACAAAAAGAACTGAGTCTTTGCCACAAAATCAAATATTCTAATGCCGTATTTTTGCAAGCCCCACGAAGCCGTCTCAAAGCCTCTTCCTATGTCTCCGAGCCTCCACCATTCTGTCTCCACGACCTGCATAATATTCTAATGCCGTATTTTTGCAAGCCCCACGAAGCCGTCTCAAAGCCTCTTCCTATGTCTCCGAGCCTCCACCATTCTGTCTCCACGACCTGCATTTTGGTCTCAAATAATTGATATGGGTTTAACATTCACAAAAACTTTTTTCTAAATAATCTCAACATGATAAAATAGCTTTAAATGATTTATAGACAATATATCTATTCTCTCTACTTTACAAGCTCGTCTAATGTCTGCTGCTATGTTCCTTGTCTAAATGACGCACTTCCTGCTCACATTCTCAACTCCCTGGCCAGGAACAGCTGATTACATTCTCAACTCCCTGGCCAGGTACAACTGATTACATTCTCAACTCCCTGGCCAGGAACAGCTGATTACATTCTCAACTCCCTGGCCAGGTACAGCTGATTCCTTTCAGTATTATTTTTCAATTTGCCAAGCGAAGAGGAGCTAACGCTGAATGTGACCAGTATTTAATGTGAGTATTATTACGTGTTCATGATGGATTCTGGAAGATTGTTTCTACCCAATCTCACCTTACCGTTTTAGTTTTGGCAAGTGCAGACCTTCATGCCGTTTTCTTTCTTTTTCAAAATCTTTCAAAATCTTCCAAATCCACAAAATCAATCCGTAATAAGTAAAGTACATAATAATTCTCAGAAATGAAAGTAGCGGGAATATATGTGTAAGTATAATGTGCGAGTTACAACCATGTCCAATCTGATTGGATAATTTAAATATTTTCAAATTGAAGTTTCGTAAATAGGCGTAATTATTGCAACATTTCGCTAAATTACTCTTGAAGAAAATACACGAAATTCAGCTTAATTATGCAAAATTGAAGTTGTGCTAATTACGTATAATTATTATTACAATATTTTGCAAAATTATCTTGTAGAAATTACGCGAAATTTTGCCGTAATTTTGCTAAATTGTAGTTTCACTTATTACGCGTAATCATTACAAAATTTCGCGAAATTAGGTTGTAGAAATTACGCGAAATTATTTCGCGTCGGCGTAACTGCATGTAATTTTGCGAAAGTGAATAATCTATTACGTTGGAAACCCTATAAAAATTGCATAGCGCGGAAACAGAATAGCAGAGACTAGAAGACGTATCGAGAGGCAAGGAGAAGGTTTTGCAGGGCTTGGAAGTGATTCTGCGTATGATGTATAAGGAGGCTAAGGAGGCCGTTTCGCTGGGCTCATGGTGGCCCTGCACCCCCTTCAACCTAGATGTTTTTTTTTTTACATTTTGCATGGGTAGAATGTAAACAGTACTGACATGTTTAGAGACTCCAAGAAACATAAATATTGCAGATAGTTCTAAGAGCTTGAATCGGTTTACAGTTCAAAGAAAAATAAAACTTTTATTTTGGTGAGACGACATACATGCTGATAAATGATAATGTATTTTTATTTAAATGTCTAAGTTTCTGCTGTTTGAACTAGCTTGCATGGTATAAACCTAAAACAAAATAAAAATTCAAGTCATTGTATTAATATATACGACGACGACTGAAGAACATCTCTTAATTTCCGAACAGTGTATTGTACTTATCAAGTACAATATTCAAAGAGAAAAGAATTTATATTAGAGTGGAATTTAGTAAAATCCTTCGGTATGAGTTTTGTCAGTCCCTTTCATCCTAAAAGGGAGTTAAAAGTGTGCAAATCATGTAAATGTTCACAAATTTTATGCAGTAGAGTACATTAATACAGTATGTTCCCAAGACTATCCATTTCAATTTTGAATTTTTTAAAGCTGTTAAATTAACTTTATAAAATTAATTAGGTGAATAAAAACATCATTTGATTTATAGTTATAACGGAAAATCATCGTTTGTAAAGTGAAAGGCATAGGGTCTATGTGAAATGATCATTGGTTAATTATAAACCAGCCTATTTCATAATTTGATTTTCTTTTAATATTAATTTTAGATTTTCTTTAAAAGTATATTCCAGGGCCCAAAAGGTTATATTGCACAAATATGTGAAGTACACCTGCAGTATGGAAACAGTACAACAAAATGGCTGTTTTACACTTTTTTTCTAGTAAATTCCCCTCTAATATATATTCTATTATCTTTGACAATATTATTCTCTTAGCAATGATAATTTCAGAAAAGTTGGGCAATGGTTAAATTTAAACTTTTTTTTAAATCTAGATATTTATTTTACGTATATCATAGCCTACAAGATTGTTAACATGGGTTTAACACAAATTTTTTTTTTACATATAGTTATAAATCATTATACATCATTTAGATTCAAATTTAAACTTAAATTTAAACTTTGTTCTTGGATAGAACGACCATTCTCCACCCCGTGCCAAAAATAAATTCTACGGTCGTCGACGTTGAAGAGGGGGGGAGGGAGGAACCTTTGCCCTAGTGTTGTTCTGTTAACCTGCTAAACCAAGAAATGAAAGTTCAAAAAGTACAAATAGTTCAATGACCCTTGCAAGTGAATATAACAAAATACACTCAAGCCTCAACTTAACCCTTTTTTATGGTCAGACGAGTCAGACCAAATAGATTATCAAGTACAATAGGTGGCAACAGAGAAATGGACCCATTATACACGACGTCACAAGTGTCAAAGAAAACGAAATTTTCTCACATTAGTTGACATGTTTTCCAAGATTAAATAAAAAAGTGTAAAAACAGAAAATAAAGATCACAAATAATTGCACTTATTTTACTGTAAGAAAAGCACTTTATTCTAAAATTATCACTATTATTAATAATTTTGTCGGACACAAACACTTAATTGACACTTGTGACGTTAGAATACAGCTGTACAGTGTACTGAGAGTGTAACAAATTTTACGCTGCCATCTATTGTTCTAGAATCTATTTGGTACCCAGAGCCCAAAACTTAAGACATGGTATCGTCATAAAAACCAGTTTGAAACCCCGGGTTTCACGAATGGGGTTAGGCAGTTTTGTAACTATCAATATTTTTTAAATAAAATATCTTTTTTAAATCTCTTAAATCAAAATATACACATAAATGTTAAAACCTCTTTTAAATTTCGTGCTCTGGAAACACTAATCTGTTCAAAATTGTGAAAGATAACATAGTTTTTACTGTCTTTGAAAACGTTTGATTCTGATAATGTCTCCATTGGTTATGAAACAAGAAATGCGCAAGTTACTGTTGAAGTGAGACTACGAATTAAAAAAAAAACAGTTTTTCAAAAACAAAACATTGATACACAACTCATTCTTATCAGACAAAACTTTTACCGTTGTCAATAGATAAATCTTTTTTAACCCACGATGAAAACAACATTAAATCGAGTCAAAAGCTTGCTACTTATTATTTTTGATATCTTATTATTTTTGATATCTTATTATTTTTGATATCTTATTATTTTTGATATCTTATTATTTTTGATATCTTATTATTTAGAATTAAAGTTTTCTTTTAAAAATATTCTTCAAATAGAAAACAATTCTAAAGAATAGTTTTTTATCTTTTTACCGCAAAATTTCCGCGAAAATTCGCAAATAATGGATTCAGAATTGCATTGCAGAATAATTGTGTTTATTTGCAATTCATTAGACTTCAATAGAATTAGTAAGAATTTTTTTAGAAATAATATTTGAATATCTTCAAAGAAAATTCATAAAATTTTTCAGTCGAAAATAGTTTGAATTCATACATTATACAGGGAAGGAATTTAATATTTTTTGTAATGAAAAAACAAAGTTGAAGAAAACTATAAACATAGAATATATGTTGAGACTGTGTAAAAGAAAAAAAAACCTTATGATTATAATGATTGGATATTCCCCGAAGAGAAAATATTATTTAAGGTTTCTTTTCAGCCTGACAGAACCACATTGGTGAAGAGAGGGGGGAAAAAGCAGGGGAGAAGAGTACACAGTGGGTTGAGAGGGGGTGGAGTGGTTCTAATGTCAGGGGGTGAATTGGTACACAGCACACGGTCTCAATTAGTTGTAGAATTTTTTTATCTTAATTGGTTTTCGTACTCTTTATCATCAATTTGGAAAATAAATAATAATCAAGCTTCAAGAATTTTGCCGCCAACAAGGTTTAAAATTCATAAATTTTTCGGGAAAATTATTTACTGATAAAATACGTGTAATGGATTTAATGTGCTTTAAAGCGTTGTGTGATCAAGTGTAAATTAGAAATTAATGTTTATTATTCTTCCATAATCTTTTAAGTTGTTTAATACCAAAGACAAAAATAAAAATATTATTATAAGAGTTATATTATAGTAAAATTAACTTCAAAATAAAATATATTTGAGCAAAAGATTTTTTAAACGAAATAAACTGCAAAGAGCCTTTAATATCTAATACACTGTATGGAAGACAAAATTCTACTTACCAACTGTCATGTTTCGTGGGACACCCTAAACAAACGAGAAATGTTGATCAGATAAATAATTCAAGGGTACCGTTTTGAATCGGGCATTGCCATTTTTGCATGGAAGGTCACTTGAATTTACGCTTACAATTCCCTTTACTCGTTTTGATTTCAGATTGTTTTGATCGCCTACATGTTCATCGTTATCTGGGTTGTTGGTAAACAATTCAAGAAACTGGATTTAGGACAGGTACTATAAAGCTTTGTATTATGTATATCGAATCTTAATTTTTTTATGTCAACTCTAGCTTTCATGGTTTTACCCGATATATCTTACACTTCGATACAGCCAGCCTACATGTTATGGTTGTGGGTTGAATACACAATTCGTTTCGTCAATGACGAAAAACGAAACGATCTATCTATCTTTCAATAAAACTAGATTTAGGTCTGAAAAACTTGATAGTTTTTCGTGTGTTAAAAACCCCGAATAATAAATGTATTAAGGAGGAGGAGTGTAGACGTGTTCTTGTGACTACTCCAACCAGCACAGATATTAAACATATCAAGTTAGTTCAACCTTCTCAGTTTTATCTTATAAAACCCGCATCGTGAGGTCAATTATTGGCTTTACACTAGAAAACTCAGACAAAAAAGCAAAATAAAATACAAATAAATATTTAATTTGCGATTTTCTTAAAATTTAATGTAGGAAATACATACAATTAAATCCTAAATGAGCCATATATCGAAAGAATTTATCAAATGTCGTCTTGACAATTTTTCTAGGGGTTTTATACTATTTTACGTAAATCTTAGTATTTGCGAAAAAAAATAAATGGCCATGAATATGTGGGAACAGTTTAAAGAGCTCCATATAATCATTTAATTAAAAGGCTAAATATCTGCAATATTCCATTATCAGAAAGCGAAAAATACGGCATTTGATGAATTCTTTCAATGAATGGCTTATTTAGGTTTTAACTGTAGCTAAAAAATAGTAATTTAAGACCAAGCGCAGGTAAACGGCAGGAGCAACTTTGAGTACCCGAGGCAAAGCTGGTTTCCTAATAAATATAAATATAATTCTTATATTGTAGAATCATATTTAACAAAAATAATATTGTGTTATTTTAGAATAAAGGAAAGAAATGTGTAAAATGTTAAAATTTTATATTTGTTCTTAAGTTTTAATGCTAAATGTGTAAAAAATATCATTATACAGTATCTATGCTTTACAATGTGTAAGAAAAAAACTAATTAATTCTTCAAAAATGATTTTCCATCAACAATTCTAAAATAGAAAATAATCAATTGAAAAAATAATTGTTCAGACTTTGAACGCAAATCTGAAATAAAAATGCAATAACTTTATAATACAGTTTTATTTAAAAGAAAATATATTTAAATTTAAATCTAATTTTAGATTAAGAAATATAAAATGTGGAAATACAAAAATTCTGAATTTCATTCTGTTCAATTTGATTTTCGCACACTGTGGATGTAGGATAAAAACTAGAAGGATTAAGAAATTGTACAGTCGGGCCAGAAATCCACAGAGGAGATATGCTTGCCACAAACTCTTTTTTTTTAATTCGTGATGTTGTTTGTTATTTCAAGAATTCAAACAATTTTCGGAATTCATTTCTTTAAAGGGAGTGACTGGCAATGTCACAGTAAAGTCTGGTTCATTATGGGTTCATTTCAAGTGCCGGGCCGACTGTTTAGGGAGCAGGGCAAGGTGCAGTACAGTACACATACAGACTATGCAGGCAAAACGTGACAGTACACCAAATGAATTAGGTCCTTCTAGGGAAAATAAAGTGATGTGTGGTAGTTGAACTGAGAATATTGTAGAGACATTTTGTAGGATTCATTTGAGACATATAAACACGTTTTAATGATGTATAATTACTGAGTTTGAGCGCAATGTCGACTTTCAAAATCATCCATTTGGGTGGTTCGTTTTTGAGAATCGATTTTTTAAAATTATTAGAAAAGACGATAAACTTATTAGTTGTTTAGGATAAGGTTGACAAAATAAAAAACTAACTCTTATAATCGAAAATAAGAAATCTTATTCACTTAGTTTCTGTAATCTCTTATTGTTCACAAACATTTTCTGTAGATATTCTGGAATTGTTTTGGAAAAGACGACATTTGATGAATTGTAGAAATCTGCGAAAAAATCCGTAAAGAATAAGAAATTCAATATAATGATGGAAAAGATATAATTGATTCTAACATTGATTTATTGACAAATTTCTTTTGAGAACTTTGTTCCTAAACATCTAATTAGTTAACTGTAGAATTTTTGATACATTTTTTGTCGTCGTTATTTAATTGTTTAAAAAACCGATTTTCAAAACATAACCTCCCAAATGGATAATTTTGAGCGTCGGCTTTGCGCTCAAACTCAGTAATTATACACTGTTAGAAAAACCCGCTTACAATCAACAGTATTTAGTTCACGCACCAAGCCATGATGATCCGTTTTAATATATCAACGATAATTCTGCTTGATATCAATTTACGGCCTGTACGCTAAATTCTAATTACATTCACTTGAATTCTACTTACTTCAATCATCAGAAATCGAAGCAAGCATAATCCTGCNAAAAAAACATTCACGATTTAGTCATTTTGATAAAATTGACAGGAACCGAACGCTAAGATAATTTTCTTTAAATTTAGAAAATCCAATCTTGGCATTTATAAAATCTTTGATGTTGATGTAAAAATATTATGCGCTGTATTTTCTTCCATATAAAAATTATGATTTAAACTAGATTCAAAATTAAAATAAAAAGACTGTTCTGGAGTAAAGAGACTGAAATCGTAATTTCAAATTGCTCCCCATGGCAAAAGTGGCAATACCCGATTCACAACGGTACCCTTAAACCCTTGGACAAGGTTCTCGGACGTGTTCTCTTTAATCTATTAATTCTCTTTTAATTCTTTGATCTAACAGCATTCATAGTTTGAAATATCTAAGCTTGACGATTTTAGATAAATCCTGAATGTTAATTACCATCCCTCCGATGGAGTAATTAGTGTCCTGAGTGTCAATTACCATCCCTCCGATGGAGTAATTAGTGTCCTGAGTGTCAATTACCATCCCTCCGATGGAGTAATTAGTTTCCTGAGTGTTAATACCATCCCTCCGATGGAGTAATTAGTGTCTTGAGTGTTAATTACCATCCTTCGAATAGAGTAGTTAGTTTAATGAGTGTTAATTACCATCCCTCCGATGGAGTAATTAGTTTAATGAGTGTTAATTACCATCCCTCGGATGGAGTAATTAGTTTAATGAATGTTAATTACCATCACTCTAATGGTAAAATTAGTGTCCTGAGTATTAATTACCATCCCTCCGATGGAGTAATTAGTGTCCTAAGTGTTAATTACCATCCCTCCGATGGAGTAATTAGTGTCCTAAGTGTTAATTAGCATCCCTCCGATGGAGTAATTACTGTCCTAAGTGTTAATTACCATCCCTCCGATGGAGTAATTATTGTCCTATGTGTTAATTAACATTCTTCCAATGGAGTAATTAGTGTCTTGAGTGTTAATTGCCATCCCTTTGATGGATTAATTAGTGTCTTGAGTGTTAATTACCATCCTTCGGATAGAGTAATTAGTTTAATGAGTGTTAATTACCATCCCTCTGATGGAGTAATTCCATCCCTCTGATGCAGTAATTAGTGTCCTCAGTGTTAATTACCATCACTCCGATGGAGTAATTAGTGTCCTGAGTGTTAATTACAATCCCTCCGATGGAGTAATTAGTGTCCTGAATTATAATTACCATCCATTCGATGGAGTAATTAGTGTCCTGAGTGTTAATTACCTTCCCTCTGATTGAGTAATAAATGTCTTGAGTGTTAATTACCAATCCTCCAATGAAGTAATTAGTGTCCTGAGTGTTAATTTTCAACCCTCCAATGAAGTAATTAGTGTCTTGAGTGTTAATTACCTTCCCTCCGATTGAGTTATTAGTGTCTTTAGTGTTAATTACCAATCCTCCAATGAAGTAATTAGTGTCCTGAGTGTTAATTTTCAACCCTCCAATGAAGTAATTAGTGTCTTGAGTGTTAATCACCATACCCTCCGATTGAGTAATTAGTGTCCTGAGTGTTAATTACCAACCCTCCAATGAAGTAATTAGTGTCCTGAGTGTTAATTATCAACCCTCCAATGAAGTAATTGGTGTCCTCAGTGTTTATTACCATCCCTCGGGTAGAATAATTAGTATTAAATCACAATTGTGAATTCCCTCCGCTGAAAATAATTTCCCTAAGGTGGCCTCCGCTACAGCGGAGGGATCCCAATATAACTTCAATCTCTCCAAGTTGTATACTGAAGTAAAAAATCATTTTTATTTGGTGAAATCTATTTAATATTTGCAGCATGTAAAACACATGTGAGACCAAATTTTCTTTAAGAAAAAATATATTTAAACTTTAAAAAATAATAATGCTTTCTTCAGGGGACATTAGTTTCAAAACTAACACTTGGCCCATATCCAGAGTAAAAGTCGATAATAAAAACTATAACAAACATTTTATTAAACATGACAAGGACAACAATTCCCAATTTTAAACTTTTTTTAAAAATCAAAATTATAATAAGAGTTCTTTTTATATTAAATCTCTTGACAGTTTTCAAGACAATGCCAGGTTTTCCATTTTAGAACGTATCCTGAATTTGAANATAAATAAGAAATTTTATTATTTCATCTTACAATATTGTCGTCAATTAATAAAACTAACTTTTTATTCTTAATTCTGGTTTTTTGACATGGTTCTTTGATCCGTATGGTGGTCTATGTATCTAGTTGTACCGTGTGGACATAGTTTGCTGAACTGTATTTGTACTGCTGCAGTACACTTTCCTCTGGTGTACAGAGGGGGGAGAGGAAATCAACCCATTGTAAATCCTTAGATGGAGGAAGTGCCAATCATCGAACAAAGGATTAGTAAATGTAACCTTAAATTAGAAGAAAAAGTATTAAATTCAATTTATTTTAATAAAAAATAAAATAATGTTTTGCATTCACCTAAATTGGTCGCTGTTTACTTGGGAGTTGTCTGAACCAGACATTTTTATTACATTTTTAGTTTCTAAACTAGAGTTTCCACAGCGAGGTTGCTATTTTTATTTATTATAATCATATATTATTGTTATATTTCTTATATATGTTAAATTTCCCACCACCAAAATCATGCTTTTTTGTTAAAATAAAACCAGATTTTTAGAAATCAAAATAATTAAAATGTCGTCTTACAACAACAAAAATGTTGAGACAAAGTTTAAAAACTCACCTTTTTAAGCAAGAAAGCTTCATTAAAGTGTAAAAAGATTGTAATTTAAAATTCTGAAAACCTAACTTTATTGTATATCTGGTTGAAAGACCCAGTTTAAATAATGATATAAATAGTTATGAATTGCAGCGGCGGTGTGGAAAATTCATACAGAATCCGCGAAAATCCATGAAACCAGAAAGTGAGAAACAAAAAGTAAAATTATGTCATATTTTTAGTTATGCTTTGTGGGTAACCATTTGCAACTTAATCATAATTTTCTTTTTGCCATTGCAAAAAATTTCAATTTTTTTCTAAGGTTACATCTCTAATAAAGTGATCATTTGTTAAACTTTCACCGTTTATAAGACTAAAGCCTTACAATAACTTTCAGTGTAAAATGTAAAAAAATGTTGTCAAGAAAATTATTTTTTAAAATAAAAAAGTGTGCAATATATTACCAGTTTCTGTTGGAACATTTGATGCTGATAAATCAACGCTAGCAAGACCAGCAACTTCCTGAAGGTAAAATGTTATGTTTAGGTTAGCCCTATCCCGATCGGGCTTTTTTGTCCAATATTGATTGGATGGTGTTTTTCCCCCCCCCCCCCCTATGATTTTGCCATTAGAGTCGAGATAGGGGAGTGTGATACATGGCCGTAATGCCTGCTTATTAAACCTCTATCATTAATTGTTAGGGTGCAAGGGAGGATTTTAAAAAGTTCAAAAAGTACGCCGGAAAAATGTTCAAAAAAAAATATTTTTAGCTTTGACAAATATTAAGCCACAGTGGCACATGTTATTGACCATTTTTTCCATTTTTCAAGGACTTTTCAAATAGATAAATTGTATACCACCTGTAGCTAAGTTTATAATAACTATTTATAACCCTACTGGTTGAAGGGAGGCGAGGTATAAAGTATTTGAGCCAAAAACTTTTCTTTTTCGAGAGGGTTCTCTACTCGAACCCTCGAGAAAAAGACATGTTTTTTTGCGAAAATACTTTAAGAGCCCCCTTCAACCAGTAGGGTTTTAAATAATTTTATGCCCTGCAAAATTAAAATATAAAGAAATAGAAAGAAATATGAATTTAAATGTTAACACTATCAAAAAAAATAAAAACACACAAATGGCACGTCAATTATATAACGTGGAATATCAAGTTTAAACTCTTAATAAGTCCATATTAAAGAAAATCCCAAATATTAATGCTTGAAGATGATCATTCAAAAGATTGCGGGAACTTCATAGCAAAAAATTCGCAAATAGTGAAAGGTGTACCATAGATAAAAAAAGGCCACCCAGGGCATAAAAAGTTATAAACAATTTCTGTCTTTTTTAAACTCTAACCCGCCATTTTACTGTCCTCTGCCCTACCCTTTGCAACAGAAACAAAAAATGTTAAGCAAAATATGTTCACAACTATGAAGTTGAGAAAGCGTTTAAGTTTTAGCGTTCTAATATTACCCAGGGTGATAGAGTTAATAAAAAAACATAAAATGATTACTTGATAATCTTTCAAATTTTTTATAAAAGTGAACAAATTTAAAGATTATAAACACTTAATATTTAGAGAACAAAGCTTCACAAATAAATGCTGCAAAATGTGTCAAAAAACCAACATTTTTATTTCCCAATTTATCATAAAAGCCTCATACTTAGTAATTGCGATATACTGGCGTTTAACGTATATTAAAGGGTCTGTCCAGATAATTACAAATCACTTTCTATTAAATAGTCACGTGCTATCATTCTGATCCGATTATGAAAAATGGAGAATTTTTTATTGCAGTTGTGCTTTAAAAGTAACCTCCAAAGGTTACAAGCTATCACAAAAAAGTCTAAAAAGCTAAGCATAAAACATGTGCTTTGTGGTTCTAAAACGTACATTTCTTAGTCTACAAAAAATAAATGTGAGATTGAGGTAAAACTTACGGACATGGCGATGTTGCGACCTTTTTCTAGTTTCAGTAGAAGTAAATATTTCCATTTACTGATAGCGCCGATTAAAGGATTCATCACTCTGATTGAATAATGAGATAGATAGAAAGATAGATGTTACCGCCATACTATTTTAATTGGTTCAAAATAGACAACAAACACATGACTGAACCCTGATTGGATCAGGCGCTAATGGACTCGGCATACAGTTGAATAAGTCTTAAAAATTGCATAGCATAATGGATCTTTGTGACGTAAGTCTTTACATGGAGGGTCTCTTGAGAAAACTATGCCAGTCCCTTAAAAAGAATAAAGAAGAAAAAACCACCTTGCAAGTAACAGATGAAGTTTTGTCTGTGTATGATGTACAATCCACAAATTTAGCTCCTTTATCCACCCACAGCAGCATAACCTTGCCGTTCATTATCACATACTGTCTCCTAGAGGTTGTGCCAGGGGTCAACACAAACTTAGACCCTTAACAACCAAAATATTTTTATTCAAAAATTTCGAAGACAGGCTATGATCGGCCCATTTTGTATTAATGCACAACATAATGCAAAAATTATGGCTTAAATTCCGTTTGAGGCACAATTTAATGCAAAAACATAAAAATTTTCAAGTATATGAGCAAGTTAGGACAAATGAATGTGCAACTTTGTGCAAATGAAGGTAAAATTTCATGCACTGGTTTCGTATTGATACGCGAATGATGCGAAATTTCGTGCAAAATGCGAAACTGTTGCGCAAGAAAATCTGATGTTATGTGGGAACCCTATTTAAGACACGTATTAGGTTACAGTATACGTTTATCAAGTATGAATGAGTCCCAAGGCAATGCAAGTCCTAGTTGTCAACTTTGTGTTGCAAGAAATGTGTTTTTGCAAGCATCATTCTATCTTTCTAAATTTACATTCTAACATTAAATACTAAATGTTTTCTTAGTTATGCATTAAAACGGTGTTAAGTACTTTCCCAAAGATATTTTCCCAAGGGCCCAAGTAACATTTTCCCTAGCATGGCAACTTCCCAAAGGTTAGGTTAGGCGCTCTAAGGCACCTTAGGCTGGGGCTTGGATGGGATAGGGGGGGTGAGCTCTGCGGCTAAAACAGGCTGGGTGCCGAGCACTGCGGCTAGGATAGACTTGGGAAGTTGCCGCTTCGGAAATTGCACGTTCGGGAAATTGCCACTTGGGAAAAATGCTTTGGGAAATTAAGTACATTACATCTTTAAAACACCACTTGACTTTTTCAACTATATTCTAATTTGAGAAATTTTCCTTGATAATTTGATTTTTTTTCTTTGTTTAAGATATACGTAATTAGACTTGATTTAAGATTAAGGGGGGAAGGGGTTTGTGTACATTTACTGTGATGTATTAGGACCGCTCATATCTGATAAAAGAAGAATAGAGAACAATATAATACTCAGGAAAATTTCTACTTGTGTGTTTACAATCTGTGTTGTTGTTTTGATAAAACTAGCCCTAACGGTCCTATAGTTTTACTGTAAAATGTGTACACAAACCTCTCTTACTTTTTTTTTTAAATGACATTGATTATAACTTTACTAACCATCAACACATCCTGTTGCTTTTGTCTGCAGGTCAGATAGAACAACCTTGACCACTTGCCACTTTAGATTCAGCTATTGTTGGTCGTTTCGGAGACGACTTAACGGGCTTGGCTTTTGAAGACTTGTACAGGTACTTGTCTTTGACGATTTTTTGGTGAATTTTTCTCCTACTTCTACCAGTAGCTCTTACGTCATTATCACTTCCCTAGATTTTTTAATGTAAGCTAGGCTTTTAGGGTGCTTCGTGCCCATCTTCTATTTGAATTGTGAACATGTTCTCTTTATGTACAATTGTAAAACAAAACAAACAAAAAATTCGCAGATTTTATAAAAAAAAGCTGGCCAAACGGCTGGACCAATCTGACGGAAATGTTTACAAAATTTTAATTTTAATTTTATTTTCCGGGCAACGCCGGGCACTTCAGCTAGTAATACTTAAAATCAGGGTAACTCTCAAACAATGAGAATTTTGGACTTATGTAACCAGATTCAGTCTTTACGCTTGATTACATGTATGAATGATACTAGACTATGCAGTTGTAAAATTGTTTTTTTTCTTTGTCATGTCATTATCTATTTTTATCCTAAAATGTGGCGTCAAACCTTATAGAAATCCAACGTATGGACCCGCTACGTATAGCAACATGGCGTATTTTCCGGGAGAACATTTTTCATATTTTTGAAAAATTAAACGTTTTTTGTAAAAATATTTTAGCTTATCATTATCATTATCATAATTTCTATTTTTTTGCCATAACCTAGACATTAAAGGAGCAAAATAGTTTAATTCCTACATTTTAGGTTTGGAAAAAAAAAACTTAAAAGTATAGAAAAAGTTCTCCAGTAATGCTAATATGATTTCATAAAATTTCGTTTTACCATTTAAATAAAAGGATTTTATGAAAATTATATTTACTTTACACTGATAATTTAATTTTTCAAAAATATAAAAAATGTTCTCCCGGAAAATACGCCATGTTGCTATACGTAGCGGGTCCATTCCATATATATTCTGTTTTCCTGTCTATATATATTCTGTTTACCTGTCTATAT